TCACACTTAGATCATACCTGGAAATTACTGTACATGGTTTGAACTTACTTACCTATAAGTTCTATTAGGGAAAACAGAAAATGGAAAACTCCAAACATCTCTATGTGGGCGGAACACTACATAACTGCTGACTGCAAGAATATGGAATGGCTTAATAAGAGCAATAACAAGTTTCCGAAACCCACAAAAACCAGTATTCTAAGTACAAAAAGCCCTTGCGTGTTCGAGTATGGTCATAGTATAAAGTCAGCAACGATACTACTGAGAAGAGAGGCTCATTTGAACACACTCCCAAATGAAGAACGCATCTGCCCTGCTAACTAAAGAGAAATCTTCCTCTTACCATCCATTTGTACATCAGTTTGTCATTTTATTCTGTTGACTGCGTGACCAGCTTCAGCTTTTTATTTATTTTTGCGACTTCGGAGGGCTCTGTCTTCCACAGCAACACTTTCTGCCCTCCAACCTGCCCTGCTTTTGGAACCAAACAGCAGGTGAGCACATAGAAACAACGGCAAATTGCACAAACCCACAGCACGAGTAGGGAGGGAGAGGAAAACCAACCTTGCCAGCGCGGCAGTTTTGGGTCACGAGGCATCTCCGACTACCACAGTGTGAACAGTGTGAGGTCAGTCTTCAAGGTTCTTCGTTGCTACAGTGACAGCAAAGCCAGCCAGGACCAGCTTTGGGCTAAGGGCACTCGTTTGGCTGATGTGTATTAGCATCTAGTATTTGGTAACAACAGTAACAGTTTTCTGTTTAGGGATGGTCAAGGAGATGTGGAAGATTGCTCTCTTCCGAGTTAAACCTGCTCAAAGGCTGACCCAGGGAAACAGTTTTCCTGCTGAATCCTGCTGCATTGAACTTCCTTGCTGCCTGAAGGACCTCTCCTGTAGCATGCTGCAAGGCTCCAGCTGCACAGCCAGAACGCACGGAACCGGGGCAGCCGCCGGGCTGACCGGGGCCCTTGGCTGTCGGGGCAGGGGGTTGCTTCCAATTGTTGTCATTTTTGCAAAGGATGGGGATTAACACGAAAGTAAGAATTACAGCTTCAGTTATGCTACGGCCAGAAGTAAAGAAGTGTTGTGAAAGCACTGCAGGGGCCTCTCCCGGCAGCGCAGCGAGCGCCGCGCAAACAGAAATTGTGTCCTGCGGAAGGTTTTAGGCCAGGCCTCCGAGTCTGTATATTACCGAGCATGAAAACAGGGACAACACAAATCTTAAATTAAAGGCTCTCTTAAATAAGCATCCATCTTCTGCTGCATACACAATGCTTTTCTTCTTTGAATATATACATACGTATTTTACTCTAACATCTGCGTATTTATTTAAACTCTGTACTGTAGTAAAATATGCATCATTTTAATCAATAAGGATTTGCTGGCGACAATCAGATTGACATTCAAACGTGGTGGCTGAAAGCTTTTATGTGCCTCTGACATACTGATCATTCCCCATGCAGGGGAAGGGGTCTCTGTGCTACTTTTGTACAGTACAATGAGCTATTGTATGAAAACAAAATCCCTCTGAATTGTCTCTTATTGATACTGGTCTGGTCTACTTACGCTACCTTTTGGGAAGTGGGAGTGGGATAAATATGTCTTTAAAAATGAAGCAGCTGTAACCACAAAAATGAAACCAACGCTAATACAAATCTACAGCATCTGATATTTACCAACACCCTAGCTTTGCTCATTTGCTGCTGTCAAATCTGGGGAAGGGAGGGTGAGGCAGTGCCGCACAGTGCTGAAGACAACCAGCTTTTACCTTCCTCTGTACCCCACTCCCAGATCACTTTCAGACAGGGAATGAGGAGGGTTAGGATGATGAAGGTGAAACTGGAGCAAGTGAAGGGGACAGCCATGGGGACAGCAAGCTGATGTGATGTCAAATCTGAATGCTGAAGCAGTTCATGAGTCCCAACTCACGTGGTCAGAGCTCTCCAGGGAGAGGCTCTTGGTCTTGTGAGGAGAAATCGGGCTGGGAGGGCTGCTGAGGTTGGAGCTGTTTGATGCCGTAGAGTGTCTTGGAGAGTCAGAGTCCTGCAGTCCAAAGACACACAAGAACACAAGTAAGTAAGAGGATGGCAAGTTTGAGACTGACTGAGGCTGTCTGAGCAACAGGTGACTGGATACAAAGACCTCTGCAGATTTGGCTTGTGTCCAAAAATACGGAGGGATTTTTTCTTCTCAGAATTTCCTGGTTTAGGGAGACACAAGAGTAAGTGGCCCATCACTGCTTTCAGAAGGCATAAGTGGTGCTGACATAAGTACACAGCACTGCTGGGATTCTGGCAGTCTGCGTGTTGCCAAGGGCTGCTTGACCAGCAGAGGTTCAGGTTGCCTGTGAAGCTATAACAGCTCCTGTCTTTTCACAGATTATCATCTGAGATGCTCTTGCACTTAAATGAGGAATCTTTGTGGTACAGGTCTCCTCACAGCTAACTCTTCTATGTCACACCCAGGACATCAATCAAAAGCATCCTCTCAAGTTACTCCAGTTGGACCTTCCAGAGTACAGTAGAATACAACTCTGTCTGAGCTTGAATCTGGCTTGACAGTTGCTTTCTGTCCAAACCATGACACAGCTTCAACTGGCAGGATATATTCAGCACCATAAAAAAATCTGTGATCTCTAATTTTCACACTCCTTGGTAAGAAAATGGGTTGGGGAAGTTCTGCTGGCCAACTTCAGATTGGACCCTCCCACGTAAAACAAACTTCCCCATGTTTACCAAGACACTTAAAGTTTCTCCTGTCACTCACCTCTCGCTCATAGTCCCTTGTTGGTGCATCGCTGCCTTGGTCCAGGCCACCAGAGGATAAGGACCCGTCTGAGGGTGATGCCATAGGCTGACGCTTCGCTCCGTAGCTCCCTCCTGAGAATTCCCTGCGCAAAGCACTCCCGTTCTGTGCAGACGATCCTAAAACACACGGAGGAATCAAACTGTATCATGGACAGATGCCTTCCTAACACAGCAGAAATTTGTTTAGCTGTTTCTCTGGTTACTTCTGCTTTCCTCCAGTGTGTCCCAAGATGCTATGTGGGCTTTTATCTTGTCTGCTGCCTGCTGCAGTTTTTCCTATGGATTCTCCAGTCCCTTCCTTGGCATGTTAGCCTCAGAACACTTTACTCAGGACAGACAGAGTCAGTGTGTTCCTGACAAAGCTGGCAACGTGCAGTGAACACAGCATGTGCCACAGGGAGGGAAAAACCAGAAAGGCTGGGACACCAGCTTTGCCTCTATTTGCACATGGTCTGTTACTTAGCCCCTTGCCTGGTCTCGGCCCATGTCACTGTGCTGACTGTGGCACACAGACAGCATGGCAGCACTAGAAATGTGTTTCCAATCCATTGCAGCTCTTCTATTCCAGCAGACAGTTTTCTATTCCTTTCTCTTTGCACTAGCAGCAAGAGAGGCATCAAGAGTTCTACACAATTCAGCACAAAGTCAATAACCACAGAGCTTGTGAACAACTTGTCACTGATCTAAAACACTTAAGCATGAGAAACGTAGTCCCAAGGCTAAGGACGTAATTTTAATTCTAATGTCAATTCTAAAAACTTGACAAATTAATAATCTGGGGCTCTCAAAAATGCTACCTGCTTATTCATGTGCTCCTTCGAAAGCAAGACTAAAACACTCCGCTTGCCCTCAGCAGGAACAGTCAGCCATCACTCCTGAAAATCCCTACCAGCATGGACAGAAGCAAACTGCAAGCAGGCAGCCCTTTCCCTAAAATACTTGTGCACAGACCCCAAAGCAACACAACTCTGTTTGCTTACGTGCTGCTAACCCGCTGCTCGCGCTCATCGACCGTCCCGGCTCCGTGCGGGATTTCGTGATCGACGGGATACTGACAGAGCCACTGAACACCGTCCGGCTTTCCTGAGGCCGAAGATTCTGAAATGCAGACACACGACACGCTTACTCATTGACTGTCGGCCCAACCTTGGGTGCTACGAAGGCAGGCCCCAAAACACATCAAAACCCCAACCTTACCAGAGCCGAATATCTGGGCAGCAAGTCAGCAAAATTTGCAAAATAACATTCTGCAGTTTAGTGCAGAGATTGGCAGCACGCGCAACGCAGTAGTGAAGTGCTGAATTACATGGACATATGCAGACAACTGAAAGAATGTGTCCAATAGATCAAGAATTTCCTTGAAAGGATGGTTTGCAAGCCTAATTAAGCTGCTACAGATATATTCAAGTTATATTGCATAATGCCTTATTTCTGAACACAAGCTTCCGAGGATCTTATTAAAATTTATCTCTTTGATGCCATCATTTGTGCGAGGATTGTGTAACTTTATACAATAACCAGGTTAATCCCTAATGCTTACAGATAGTGGATCAATCTATACAGCAATTACTTATGTAATTCCAAAGGTGCCAACAGCATCCCTCCAAACCTACACCAGTTGAGCCAAAGTGAGAATCAGCCTCCTGTTTTCAGCCTGCTCAAAGTGGATGACCAGAACACATGCCACTGTTTGTCTACATGTTTTGATTAACGCTCCTGTTTTGCCTCCTGAGAGTTCCAGTGCTGATTTTCTAAGTGTCCTTTATTGAGAGAAGAGATAAACCATAATCTCCCTACTTGGATATGGCAGCTCCTTAAACATAAGTTGCCTTTAAGGAAAGAGCAAAAAGTACTTTGAAGTGAACTCTGGGGAAATTTTATTTCTGCTTCTGTTAACTTACAGTTGACCTTAGAGAAGAAGACTTCTCAGACTTAGCCCATCTCTCTGTACATGAGCTGACTTCTTAGCCCAGAGGACTTGCCTATGTGCATCATTTTAGCTCTGGTTAAATATGAGACTTCATCCTACTGCTAGCATCACTTGCACTATTAAGTCATTACAATTAACTTGAATTAGGTTCAAGGAATCCTCACAGATGCACAGTGATGTCAGAAGAGCTGCAAGTAGCTCTGAGCATGACTTTATTTCCCCTTTACAAGCCCCCTCCCTGCAATAACTGTTCATTTCTTCCTATTTATATTTGTCTCCTCCCCACACTCTGAGATGAAGTAGCCACACTTAAAAAACCAGTTGCAATTGCAATGCTTTTTTAAACTACAGTGTTATGAAAATTTCAGATCAGAACAAATATTCCACCCCCACAAGAGTATTCTCAGAGACCCTCAGGTCTCTATCTGTATTTTAAAATGGATAATTAAATAGAAGCTTTGTAAGGAACAGATTTTATACAGTTCAGTCTTTATCACATAATTATTACCAAACTGCTGTCAAATCCAGTCTTACATTGATCCTTATAGTCATTGCTCTAACAGACCCCTTTGATCTTACAGATTTTGGATTCTCATTCTCCCAGAGGGCTAGAAATGGCTGATTTTTAACATGCAACAAATAAGAATCAAAATCTCTCCTGTTCCCAGATCTTTCTCCAACACCAGCAAAAGAGAATCAGAGACCTTACCAATGAAAAAGCCCTGTTTAATTCTCCTCTCATCCATTGCTGCACTGTAAGGATTTATACCTAAAGGCTTAAAAAAGTCTCTTAAATAATTTTTGTAGTTATATTGCTGTCTCTCACTTACCTTCCCCCCTTCTTTTTTTATTTTTAAATGTGAACAACCAACCTGCTTTGTAGCACAAAACACTGAGGTTTCTGTTCCTCTGTCCTTCACCGTGCAATGAACAATGTGAGATACAGAGTATAAGCATCCTGGCTGTACCTAAACCATGGAGGCTCGCTCCCCTGAGGATAACCAAAGGAACTGATGGGCTAAGGAATAAGTTACTGCTGTGTTTTGAGAAAGAAAGGAAAGCCAAGTGCAGCACCATGCGAACATGTGCACTGGGGTTAGTACACTGGGGTTGCAAGGCTGGACTTCTGTTCTTGTATAAACCTACAGTGGTTCATTTTGCAAAGAGAACGACTATGTTTAGTGGTAAGGTGATTAACCTCCTTCACAGTGACTGAGCAGACAACACACAGGCATCAGGGGAAGGAGGGAATGGGTGGGTCCATGAAAGAAACAAATTTGTTCTCATAGTATAGTCTAACGATGATTATTTTTCATGACCTCAGTTCGCAACGTCCATGTAATTCCTCGTAGAAAAGTTTCTCCACAAAGCAAATCTTTCATTGTTCTTTGTTCCAAAAATAAAATAAGCACATGCCAGAGATGCTGGCATTTTGGACCAAACCTCCTGGAAGTGGTATGCACGTGATGCAGAAAGGGGATTCAAAGGAAAATAAACGGCGGTTATTAGCGGTAGTTATAAAGCAGCACAATGCAGCGAGTTAAAAACACAGAAAACAAAAGGAAACCTGAGCTTGCTTTACTTAGAGAGACAAAACCCCCTCATTTAGAGCAAAAATTCAAATCCTAGCAGGAAAATCCATCCCCAGTGCTGAACCAAACAGAGAAAGGTAAGAGAACAGGGGAAAAAAGCAGCAGCAGAGAAGCTGCTGCTGAGCAAAGTGAGTGACTGTGAAATAGGGTGAAAGGCCCAGATTAGTTCAGTGCCTTCCATTCCAGTCAGAGGATGGAGCTGTGGGTTGTGTAGGGGCAGTCTCTGCTACACTCACGGCTTTGCAGCGTTAGGGAGACTCTGCTCCTTCTCCCACACCAGCTGCTCTCCAGCTGCCTTCCCTGGCAGTGGGGTGTGGATGTTCCCACAGTGTCTGACTGAACAGCTACGGCACTGACAGGAACTTCCTCGCCTCTGGTTCTCTGTCCCTCGTGCTGCTTGTTGTTTCGGGGTTTCTTTTTCTTTTAAAGTAGTGTTCTGTGCATTACATTATAAACCTCAGTTTTTAATTCTTCCATGAAGTAACATGACAGAATCTAAAAGCCTACTTTAATAGGTCATTTTTCAACTCCCCTGTGGATTCCACGCTATTCTGGTTCCAATAACCCATCTATACCTGGGACTACAGCACCATTCTTACACTAGAATCTCCAAACACAAAGGGAGACATGAATCCAAACTCACAGCCCTGCCTTCTGTACAGCTTATGGCATCTCTACCCTCAAACCACAAGGCAGACAAACTGCATAAAAGACTAAACCTCTAGTGCTCTGCAGAGCTACCAGGGACAGGACCTTGGCACTCTGGGTTGCCCACTTCACTTTTTTCCCTCCAAATTATGTTAGTAGGCTGCAACATTAGGATGAAGGATGCTCCTGAAGAAAAAATTGAGAGTTACTGTCTGAAACATGAGGGATCATTCCTTACTGATCCCAGGGGGACTACTCACATGAGAAAGGGAAGGTAGAGGGAGGGTCACAGTCCGGTGATACATCACTGCATATTAAACACAAAAAATTTAGCAGTACAGTTGGATTAAAAGAGCCATCTTAAAACCAGAACTGAAATACGGTTTCAGTGACCTTATAATGACCCTCTAGGAGAGAAACAGCTTTCAGTTCGGCCTAACAATATTTTTTGGTTTCCATTGCAACAGAGTGCTCCTCTTATGTATCTGCACCTCTCCTACTACCAGAAGAACTAGGATGGATGCAGACCTGTCCTTACAGAGCACATCTTCTAAAACTCTGCAACTTAATTTCTGAATACTGATGGTTGTGACAACTGGGCCCTCACAGCAGTGATACATGACCATGCGCTTAACCAGTCAAAGCTTAGCTGTGCCAATTGGTTTTGGAGCCATATGGAAGAGACTTATTTTCCTCCTGCATTTTTAAAGTTATATGCAGGTATGTTTCCAAAATGTTCCCAGAGATAGGGAACAGCAGCCCAAAGGCACTCAAAGCAGCCTGGCGGTGAAGGTTTGCCATGCATGTCTGAAGGGTGTCCAAAGGCCACAGAAGCCAAGAGCCATGTTTCCATTACAGCAATGGACATGGCTCAAAACCACACAAACCCTGAGCAACCAACCACCATCACATACATCTACCTCACAGATTATTCCTCATTTATCTGTGAATCTGCCCCAAGCAGAACTGCAGGCCACGGCACTGTACAGAATCATGATGCACAGCAGGTACTTTGTGTCTGTTTTAGTTTGGTTTGTATTTCTATAGGATGTACTGACCCCCATGCTGTTACACCAGGATGCACAATACAAGAAAAAAGAAAAGACTACTTCCATCCCTCCAGTTTCCATTCCAGCTTGAAGGATATCTACAGAACAGTATCCTACCTCAGCCTCTGCCTAAAACTACCAGGATTAAGAGGATCTATATCAGCAAGTTGCCATTATCTTTAATTATCTTGTTTGTACATGTTCTAATTTCACTTATTTACTTTAACCTAGAAACTGTCTGAGGCATGACCTGTCTGTCTCTCTCATTCTGTGCACAGTACTGTGTAAAAATTCTTGTATTCCACACGAATTAATCATAAACAATCAGTTTGAAAGTTTGGTCCAACAAAGACAGATCTAGAACCTTTACCTAATTCAACCTAGTATGCAGGATCCTGCTACTGACTGCTGGAGGATGATCAATGTGGAACAGAGAATTTACCATTTAAAAATGCCAACATCCTTCCTGGTGATTAAAAATGGTATTTTCATAGCAAAAGGTTCAGCCCAGTTGTTATGCACTTTTTTTTTTCTAAAGCCACGAAATATTTTTTTCTTGGCATGTCAGAGCTGTGTGAAGACCACAGCTGATTGCAGAAAGTAAATTGTCTGGGACAAAAGAAAGTTAAGGGGTGAAGGAACAGCTTACAAGGGGTTTTCTCCCATGTTAATAGCCAGGCAAAAGGAAAACCACACGGTGTTAGTAGAGTGAACACCTGACTCAGCCGTTCATACCCTCAGAGTCATAAAGTCTGGAGTACCGAGGACAGAGCGTGGAGGCGGGGAAAATGCAGGGTTTATGGAATCGTAAGAGAGGAATTTTTCAGCTGAATTAACGGTCATGTGGTAGATGTGCTCAAAGTTGCTCGGAGAGGAGATCAGACGGGAGTGGTGATGAGGGAATTGATAAGGGGAGCGCTGCTATCAAAGACAACAGAGAGAGAAAGCAATGAAGGATGGTTTACAGGTTACACTGGCAACAGCAGTCCACAGGAGCAGCCAAACACTGAGGGACAGCAGACAGAACCCTGCTCGCCGTCAACACACAGGCTGTTACACTGTCACCCCCAGTCCTCTAACCACCTTCCTTACATGGGGTCATATGGGCCTGCTGCCCCTGCTGCTGCTAAAACATTAAAAATAAATAAAACTTTTAACTCATTGGGAATAGATTCTAATATTTATTATTTTTTGATATATTTCAAAGAGCACCACAGTTGTAAAAGGTGCTTTACAGACAGTTGAGAAGCATCAGTTCCCTGCCTTGAGGAGCTTACAATCTAAAATAGACATAACACAAAGGAAGGTGAACACAGGTGAGGTGGTGTGGGGAGAAGAAAAGATGAAAATACACAGTAGTTAAGAGATTGTAAGAGATTTCCTTCTGTTATTCATGCATTTTAGCGATTCCATTAAAATTATCACCCGTACAACAAACACAGAGTATTTCCAACAGGAGGGAACAGTGTTTCGACAGGGCAGGGACACAGGTGGTGTGGGAAGGTGAACTGGTTAGTGTCAGACAACTGGGACAATTCACTCTGCTGCAGACAGACGCCACCAGGCCCATGTCCTTCTGCACACTCCTGACAGCGCTTTAGTCATGAGGGAACTTTGCACTGCTGTGCAAGGATCAGGTCCTTAGCACATAGAGGTGCCAAAGCACTGGGAAATCCAGATGTTGTTAAAAGGTCAACTGAGCAATGTGCTCCCCAAGTGTGACATAAAGAAGGAGAGGGGAGAAATAATCCTGCAAATTAAACAAAAATGACTTCTAATTCATCTCTGTGGAATGTGCTGACACAAGTGCTCTTATAATTTAAAGTCACCTAAATCCAGATTTAATGGAGAGGTTTCAAGGTTTGGTCTCCCTCCCTGTGCCACCTGTACATGCTCAGCAGGTCAGCCTGCACTGGGGTGGTTTGCCCACGGACACCAGCAAATCACAACACCTTTTCTAACTTCTAACTTTCAAGTTCCTCTTCCCCTCATCCACTGATTTCATCACCTTAAAACAAACATTTCTGAGTAATGTTAGAAATGTTAGGAGTTAAAATATAAAATATGGTAAAAATATAGCTTACCCCTCCACTAAACCTAAGGCACTACTTTTTGTATGTGGAACGTATTAAAGTCTGGAAGAACATTAAGTCACATCCCAATACATATTATATCAAACATTATTGTTACTGTTCTCTTCATTTCAGCTGGTAAAATCCAACTTTTTTTTTTTTTTTTAATTTTGTTTAAAACACATGGTTATTATGAGGCTTTGCCTGTTAACCAAAACATCAATTACCACATGATGGCATATAAGACATAATATACATTAAATTGTTATTAGTAACTTTAGCAGCATCTAAATATCAGTACAAGAAGCCACCATTCCAAAATGGTCCAGGACAGCAGACTTTGCTGAGTTAATCTATTCACAACAGAGAACTGGCAGCAAAGCCAGCCATGTTCCTAAAAGCCAATAAGGGAGATATGGTAGTGCCTAAAATCACAAGCTAAAAAGCAGAGGGTAGGCCAGCTGCAGACCATGAAAATATTTAGCCAGCATTCATGAATGTGAGAAAGCCACGATATGGCAGCATTTTAAAAATGATCCTCCATGGAACTTTCTCCATGGACTCCACCATTAGATGCATGCATGGGGTTCCCACTTTCTTTAAAGAATACCAAATATAGATAAGTATTCATTTACTCTAAAAGTTTCTCAATTGAAACAAGCAAAGCTTCACACATCATCTAGAATGGAAGTAGAATGGCTCATGTATAATGAGGTCAAACTGAAGCATAATGTTCAAATATAACGGCAGTCAAGACCAGCTTTTGTATATAAAAATACTTAGGCATGCAGAATATGAAAGCAAAATCAATCCTGTACATCTGATGTACACAGAGAGGTGGTCTGTGCTGCAGTAAGTGCAGTTCCAGATTTCAGATCTTCACTACAAAGGAGCATCCACGATAAAGTGGCTTCAAGGGACAAGAGGGCAGAAGGGAGGCCAGACTGTACGGCCAGTTAATTGGTGACAGGCTGCTAGGGAAGAAAAACATGTAAACAAATAAGTTTGGGGATATACTAACAGGAACCATTCTAAATTGTACAAAACAAGACAATGACCCAGATCCACATCAATAAAACACAAATATGTACTGATTACTGTGCTGCTAATAGCAAACAAAAACTTCTGGTTTCTGCTGCGTTGCAGCCCACAAAGTTGCGTGTCAAAGCCAGACCGTAAGTGTTCACCATGAAGAAAAGAAGGATGTAAATTTACAATCTCCTGAAAACTCCTAATATTTTCTCTCCTAAAATCTGATCTCTCTCTCTCTCTCTGAGCCTTGGGCATGGTTCTGCCCAAACACAGGGCTATGCTGAAGTCAAGGGTGTCTGTTCATGGAGAGAACAATGTGGGACTAGGCTAACAGACTGCAATTTCCCATGAACACATCATCGTGTCTGGTGCACAGCAAGACCTGGGAAACAATGCACAGAGAAAGCACCTTTCCCCCTGCAGCTGCATCAGCAAGGGCAAACACACAGTGGCAGATACCTTGCACATATGTAGGCACCTGATACGACATATCAAATAGCCCTGAAGAGTTTAAAACATTCCTTTTATTCCATTTATTTTGTAGGGTTACAATACAAATTAAACTCTTTAAAGCTGGTCTTTTAAAAGATATCATTAGAAACAGTGGTGGGCAGAGGGCAAGTAGGTTCCTGTTGGCTCTGCATCCATCAGGCAGTTACACCATGGGTTAGGGCAGCACAAGTGCCTGTCCTCTCCTGCCCACTGACACAGCCCAGCCCACCCACCAAGGACCATCGCCACCAGTTCTAATTCTGTGCTTTGTTCAATGTTTGGCATTTCCCCTGAAAAAAGGCAGCAGAGGCACGTTATTGGGACTGTGGAGATAAGTTTTGATTGGATTCACATTGCATATATGAGGTGAAAATGTATATATTAATGAATAAATATAAATACACATATATAAAAATTGTCATTTGCTTTACAGAGTGCATCCATGGATGCTAGGTAAGAGCTGGTCTCAGCTGGCTATTTAGTTTGTGACAATTTCATTCAACACAGAGATTACAGTATTTATGCTCTATTAAAACCTATTTATTACTAAGGACCCTTCTGCCACACTGCACTACACAGCACTGCCTTCAGTGAAAGAGAATGCTGGAGCTCATGCTCCAGCCAAATTTGAAAGCACTCAAGTAAGCCAGAAGAAACTCCAAATAAAAAGGGTCCACTCCATTCTTTCATACACTTTCTGCAATCCAGTATCCCTTAAAAAAAAGAAGCTGTTCCACTAAAATAGCTGTACAAAGAGAATGTGAGAAGACTCAGCCTTGCACTGCTTGCTCCCCCTAGCCGTAGCTCTCTTTAAATGGAAAAACGTATTTTACCATCCGCTTCCATAAACAAAAACAGGCATTGCCAAAGTAAAATTCTGCAATCTCTCCCATAGTTCATTAAAAATAAATACTTTCTCTTCTGAAACATACTAATCTATTTCAAAAGAGAAAGAAGATGTCCAGCTGCAAAATCATCACACATGCTAAAAGCACACAAAAACCCCCAGCTTTTGAGCTTTTGAGAATAAGGTATGAAAGTAGGGAAATAATTCCATGTCCTGGTAAAGGAACCACCATACAGATGAACTGTATGCAGGGTTCAACGAGGGCTCTTTACCTTGTGTAGTGATTCTCCAGGAAACATCCTCTGTTTCCATCCCTTCTTCTGATTCTAAATTTGTCTTTCTAAGAAAACATTAGACCCAATACATAACCTCACATGCACACATAACTCCTTTTCTTTTATTTTTGTGCCTGAGAAGTCAAGTATGTAGTCTGGAACAAATTAAATGAACACTCAGTTCAGGTAAATACCTTACAGGAAGCTACTGGAAAAGAAAAATCTGCCTAGACCTAAGCAGCCCCTGACAGACCATTTATTTCCTAATTTCAAGCTGCACTTTCAAATCCACACCCTTTCAAGTCCTGTGCCTGATGCAATTCTGTACCCGTTAAGTCAGGAATGCAAATACAATATGACATTGCAAGGAGCTGCCAGAAGAATACACAAGAAATTCGCTTTATCTGCAGTGACATCTCCCAGCATTAAGATTGATACCTACTTGCAAAAAGAAGAAATAGAAACTTTAAAAAAAGAAGCTGCAGCAGTGGAACAAGTGCAGGAATCAGCTGTATATTGCACACATTTTCTAATGTCTTCTCACCACATTTAAGTGTGGAAAGTGACTCATGAATTTCTTTCAAAACAACATATTGATTGGTAATAGCAAAGTAAAAGTTCTTAACATGTGACTTAAAATACGACCTTTGATCTAATACAAGGCTGGAGAAATTAGAATGAATTCAGAGCTAAAAGCCATTTAGAGATGACATAGCTGAAGAAATATTAATCCATCTAAATACAGGAAATCCTCTTCTGTAGATAAAATCATTCCTCATTTTACACTTGTCAGATTTGGGGCTGGGTTAAGAGCCCTTGCAGTTTTTGATTCCCATGAACTTTCAGCTACTGATAGTGTGACACAGGATGCTTTTTGCCCTACCTTTAGAGGTAGCAGATTATTTTCTCTGTTTGAGAAAAGCCACAAACATTTTAAAGAACCCACCAGAAATAGAGAAATGAACAAAGGTTCTGATCTACATCCTGCCCTGAAGCAAATTACCATTCTTTGTCTAGCATTAGACATATACAATCCTGTATCCAGGTGAGATAAACACTACCTGCCAACTTCCCTTGGATTTGCCATGTGTTTTCTAGAAGCAGTTCCTTCATTATTTATTCATTTATAAACACACATACAATACTGTGGTTTTGCTCATTACCCTGAATATATTTGTTATTGAGAGGTTTCTCAGTGTGTCTAATACAAGATTTAAAGTAAGTCAATGTACTGACTTTACAGCCAAGTGTAATATAAAAATACCATTTGCTTCAAAAGTGAGGTACAATGAGTATCCAAAGGCCAGACATTATGCCACTAAACTTTCAAACTGGTGTTACTGCATGGCACACTGTATTTTCCAGTCTTAACTGTTTCCTTTGGGCTTCTCAGCATCAGAAAATTCCAAATTCAGCACCTACTTTCTGCTTTCTGCACAAACTCCAAGCAGTAATGATGACCATTTTAGACAGCAGTTCTATACTAATGCCTATGTCTTATGCTAGTACTCACATCATCTGTTTGATATCATATCACCTCATCTTTTTTACAGTGCTAATTAGCATCTTCTGAATCACATCTGTGTCACTGTGGATGAGTTTAGGGAACAACACAGAACACTCAAACAAGATGTTCAAGGCAGCTGGAAGCAAGCAGTATGACACTCTCATGAAAAAAACGTTAATTGGTCTTCAGCTCATCAAAAATTTCATTAACTTTCAGGTGAGTGTTTCCTACACAAGGTTTTGTGGAAATGAAGAACATGTGTGTGTGCTATTACATATTTTCTTTTTCTCTGTTTCTCTGAGACCAGTTAATCTGGAGAGAACATGAAGAATAGCATATTAGGCATGGAAAGAAATCTGGGCACTACACACTATTAAACTGCTACAGGAAAACAGGCTGTAAAGAGAAAGTAAGTCAGAACAAAAGACTGGAAGAGAAAAAAGGAATTCCTTTCACAAAGAAAGGAATTTCTCTTTCCATACCCACAAAGAACACAGGATCATATCCTTTTAATTTTGCCCCTTCATATCAGTCATAAAAATTATCATCAACACTGTGAGACCAATCTGCCTGGAAACCCCAGGGGCATTAGGCACTCCTCCTCCTCTCCCCACTGAATGCTGAAGTGTCACCCTCCTTGGTTAAATTTTATTCCACATCTTTAGCTCCATTTCCCTAGTTACACTGTTCCTGATATGAAATACATCAACACTCTAAATATACATTAAAATTGTAATTGTTTTTCTCTCACTTATTTGCAGCCTCTGTTGCAGTCAGTCACTCTCACATGTACTTTTGTACTTACCATTGGAAGGTCTTTGAGAATCTGTATACCATCTCCTGGACCCATATGTGCTATGTGGTTAAAATTAGTTGGGTTAGAAATTAACTTATTTCTCATTTCTGGATCACGTAGCATCTCCCTGGAAGAGAAAACACTTTGCTCAGATATTTTGCTCTAGGTAAGGATGGACATTTATAGAACATGTACAACTTTGATTATCAGCTTCTTTTAAATGGATATTAACTAGTCTTTTCCAACTTAAACAATTCTATGATTTTATGACTCTATTTAACCATGTTAACAGTGATAACCCCCTGCTATCAGCACAGGCATGGAGAAGCTTCCAGCTTGAAGAGAGGGCAAGGGTTTAGAATAAAAGAATGCTGTTTGCAGGCTAAGAGCCCATGCCCAGTAGTTACTAACATTCAGAGAATATATAACCACATGAGGTGATAAAAACCCCTGTAAGATGAGTAAAAGCAGAACTCATTTGTGATGTGTTACAAAGTGGAGATGAAAATGAAGTACTAAATATGAAAATAGAATTAAAATAATACTGCAGTACCTTTCTCACTCTGTGGTCAGAATTAAAAGATCTTCAAAATGGCAAGGATGCATTTCAGAACTCAGAATAAATAAAATTTTAAGAGACCAAACTTCAATCAACTCAGAAAAGGCAAGGACGAGAAACAGAATTTTATCTCCACTGCATACTGCTGTTACCTTCCTTAGAGCTAAAAAGAAAGACAAGCTGGGAGCCAACAATCAGTGGAAGATGTTGAAAATTAGAAAACTGAAATACTCAGTTCTTGGAGTGTGGCTTAGCACAGTAGTAGATCATTTTTAGTGAGTGATACGAAATGGTCAGTAACATCCTCTATGAGCAGTGCAAGTAGTGCAGACCTATTTTTGTTACCATTTAGGAAAGTATTCGTAAGCTATTAAACACTCCTATTAGAAATACATCCTGAAGTCCTATGTCTTCTGATGAGGTGAGTTTTGTGAGTTTTATAGAAAGTTTATGTAGTTAAATCTATAGATCAAAAAAGCAGATGCCTTGGAGTACTGCTGAGAGTAGAAGAGCCTTAAGAAAGAAAAGCAGAACCAGAATCTGAATGTAATTAATCCATATGCATAGTTAGCAATGCAATCTCCTTTTGCAAAGTGTTTATTAGAGATCTTTATATATACAGTGTATGTGCACAGTACGTGGAGACATGCATTCCGAATTACAGCTGTTTCACATAATTAACCTGAACTAATGAATACTTGTGCATCCAGTGCATATCCATATCCAAGTTGTCATCAACACAAATTAAACACTGAGGATTAACATGGTAGTGAAGAGACAGAAACATCCAAATGGGCATTCCAGAAAGCAATGCATGAAGTACTAAGTTGGCACCAGTCACTGCCCCTCAGGGTCTACAGGCATGTACAGAAGACAAGTACATGTTGAATACCGACCTTCTCTGCTGCATCCTCTCCTCCTCCGGGACTCTGAAGGAATAGCGGCGCTTGTTGTTGATGTTTCGAACCATTTGCTTCCGGCTGTTATCTGATGTCTCAGGGACCACCAGTTCATCACCCTCTGAAATCAACACAAATAGGGTGACCCAGCAGGAAAACACATGGAATTTTAATTCTAATAAATTTTCTTCCTCTGCCCTCACTAGTGTTGAACACCACTCACTTCCCATCAAATCCGAACAAATGTTCTTTGGTTTATGAGTTTTCTTGACCACTATCTACTACTCTGTTATGTAGCAAAAGACTTAACCCTTCTTCACCCACAAGCTGCCACACTTGTGTTCTCACAACACCACTGATTCAGTCTTTCAAACAAAACACTTAGGTGGGCAGGAAAGGACCTCAGTCCTTTGTCTCAAACTTTCCTTGGCAGTTCTCACTGAAAAAAATCACTAAAACAGTCTTGTTCTGCCAACCGTCTGGAAATGCAATGCAAGATTCTCTTTCATTCACTCCCTGCTCCAAAGAGACTACTCCTTTTGAATTGTTTGAACAGTGCTGTATTTTGGTGCAACTGTGGGAAAAGGGAGGACTTTTTCCACATGTGTACATCTGGCCAAGGCATCTTTAATAAAGACATGAAAAGTACAGCAGTGATGATCATACAGCAGGATGGTTACTTTGAATGAATGCTGCAACTGCTCTGTCTTTTATATATATATACACTTTAGTCTATATATATACACGAACTTCAGTCTATATATATATGGACTAAAGTTACCCTTAGTAAACTTGAATACACCCAACACCTACTGCTCACTGCCAAAACAGGTTTTGTATGGAACTGAAAACTCTCCTTAAGATCAACTGGAGATTTCCTGAAGGGTGAGATCTACTAGATAAGCAGCTTTAGGAAAAAAACCTGCAGACTTCTAAAGAGATACACTGTTCAGGTAACATACAGGAGAAAACAATCAGCCTTATTTGCTTCTGATCCCATGCTTTCCAGCTTTCCTTCTCTTCTGCTCTACTTTTAATGTTCAATCTTTATTAGACTTGAAAATTCTTTATACACCGTTCTAGTATATTGCTCCTTTCTACCACTGTCATTGCTTTTGTACTAATTTGCTAGCAATTTAAATAACACTGAAACACTGCCAACAGCAGTATATGTTTCTAGAGTGTTTATTTCCACTATTTCCAGAAAGTTGTTAACAAAAGTTTATAGCTTTTGGTTGTTAAAATGGAGTATGTCCCCGCTCCATCTAAGAGGTTAAACAAAAGTTTAAGGAAATTCCTCAGGAGTACACTTATGAAATGGGCTCTAAAAAGAAAAAAAGTCAAAAAGACTTATAATAAGAATAGATTAATGAAGCTAAAACTGTGGCACACAGTCATAGTGGCCCCAGTAATAAGTTATGAATACATAATATTACATTACTTTATAATCCTTGGGAAATATTTTCTTTTTAGGTTAAGTATAGTATTAATTTTAATCTAGTACTGCCAAGATCACTACTAAAGTCTTTAATTGTGCAGGCATTTTTAGACAAGGTGATCTTGTTCTGCAAGGTGATCCCACATTTGGTGTCTAGTCATTCTATTTTCTACTTCCAGTCTTCATTCAAGTCTTCATTGAATATTCAAAAGGAAAAAAAATTCAGAGTAGTAGACATCATTGAAATCACTGTGGAATCTATAAGCTTTGACCTTTTCCCAGATTAACAAGCAGACATATTTTTGAAAGATCACTTTCTAAAATACAGTCCTAGGCACATAGTAACACTCTAAGCAAAAATGTGCATGATGAAAATTGGTTTCTCTTTACTTACCTGCCATTTTGTTTTTGAAATATATTAATCTAACTGTCTCCAGGCCTAAAAGGTTTAGTGATCCTTCTGTATTCAAGGGTCGTACCTGAAACAAGGAAAAACAGTCTTTGTAACACCAATAACTCGCATTTCTCTAGTGCATCTTATTCTGAAAGCTCCAAAATGCATTACAAATGCTATAAAAGGAGAACCGTTGTAGAGTCAAACAGGGAACAAGGTCTCCTATCTCCTATCTCCATGGCAGCTCTCAAGAGTAGCAACTGCAGGTCATTAAAACCACACAGAAGAGCTAAAACAATTTCAGTTTTTAAACTTCTTTTGGGAAAATGAGTACAGAGAGGGTTACCTGAAATTCCACTTTATGACATAGGCTCAACACCATTCCTCCCAGCATTTAAATAAATAGTTCTGTTAGAAGTCTACTTCATATATCATTTCAAGTTTTTCTATTAGATGTGCAAAGCAATAATCTGGGCTTTTGTTCTGCCTTAGTACCATGTCACAGTTGTGCACAGACTGCTAAAACCTACTGGTATTTGTGATTTCCAACTTAAAAGTGACAGAAGCATTCCACACCCTGAGCCTGCAAATTGTGTTAGAATCCAGCTCTTCATAATAAATAGCCATTTTTGAGTCTCTTAGATGTAGCAATTCTTGTTCGATGAAAGTAGCTTCATCCATTAAACGGGAAGTCTTGAGCCAAATATTAATCCAAGTAATAAATAACATTCCTACTGTGCAGGAAAAAATGATCCAACTGCTTAATAACTCAAAGTTTGGACATCAGAAAGAAATTCCCCCTAAATTCCAGATTCTTCTTCTCTCCTTAAGATGGTTAATAGCTGAGGACCTTGATCTTTTGCGTTATTTATTCTTACAGCATTGCCAGAATACCCTGGTCTGCATCTGACATGTGGGAAATCTGAGAGATTGAACGATTGACACAAGACCACAGAGGCAACGTCCTATAATTCTGTGTCACTGGAATGCCAGTAAAGGAATTATGTTGACACTAGCACAAAGCTGAAGTCAGTCTAAACTATGGGGAAAAAACACTTTTCTTATTTCTTTCCAAATACAGCTGAGCAAACACCTACTAAATACCAAAGAAGTGTCAGCTTTCAGAAACTTTTGATAAGAGATCCAAACCTGACATCATCCTGGTTTTAGTATTTGTACTGGTTGAAACAAAATGTTCTAACCCTGTCTGTCTACAATGTTCTCAAGCAGCAGGAGATACATTTCTGAAGGTCCGTTTAAATATTTTTAACATCCACCATGTTCTGGCAATAACAGAGATGCAATCAGTCCCAATGAAGCCATATGCAAATAATACCAAGAAACTGCTCTCATTATTACAGTAATATTATTAAATCTAACATAGTCATATGCTCCAAGATTGAACATTCATCTAAAACAGTGAAACCACAAGCAAACACATTTTGTATCTTCTATTTCAAACAAAAAAGCATTAAGTTTCTTTGCAGTAGCTCTTCTTTTAGTTCAATTATGTTCACACAAGCAGTCTGAATGATGGTTTCTAATGCACTTAAAAACCTGGTACAACTGCAGCAAAGCAGTTGTTGAGTCTTGGCAAGTTACCTTTTTGAGAGGAATAGTCTGAATCCACTCCATGGAGTTCACGTCAAAGATGTCAATAGCATTTTCACTGTACACAGAGAGGTATGGTGCATTGTAACCTGAGAGGGAATGAGTAGGTATAGTGTCATGTGCTTTTAGACACAGCCCAAAACACATCATTCCTTATGATTTTACCGTATTTACTTAAAAAAGGCCCAAATCAACACTTACACAATCCAACAACAATCGTTGAAAAATGTGTTTTAACTCAAATACAACCAAGAAATTTATTATGAAGGCAAACCAGTACCACCTAAAAACTTGGAATCTCTGCGACTTCCCTTTTAACTTTGCCAAAAACCCAGCGACTTTCTCAATTATAAGAGATTACTCTGCCAAACGCTGATGTGGTTCAAAGTTTTTTTTTCCTCTAAAAGCCCTATTTTTAAGAGCTCATATTTTGTAAATGATGTGGTAGGAATATATACTACTGTTATTTAATAACTGCCATTTGAATGAACTCAGCTCTTAGTCTCTGGACTATGCACTAAACGACCATCTATTGGAACTAAGCACCATGACACAGTCATAAAAATCATGTTTCCTTCTAGCTTTAATTCTTTCTTCTTATTTTCTGGATTGTAAAGAGAGTTCTTGTGCTACTTCTCTGGCACATTTCCCCAAGATGAAATTTATTCCACTGGGACCACTTCTAAAGAACTCAGTACTTCCATGTCGGTAAAAAGACTAACATGGTCTGCCAAGACTAACAATTCCATTCAATTTGTGCTTAAATGTAAGTTTTTGCTATAAAATATACTTCCATTCTGAACTGGAATAACATCAAGTCACTTCATTTAAGGCAATCAAAAAACATATCAATGACTAGTAGAGATTAACTACCTGTGAAAAATATCCATTTTTCAACCTATCACAAAATCTTCTCTTTTGATTCATTCATTCTCTGAGCCCACTGTAATAATCAATTGCCTAAAACTGCCTGAAAACCAGAAGTGACAAACAGTCTGTAAAAGTTGCTCCTTCCAAATTGAGAAGGGCCTTCACTCAAACAAGGTGAAACATTCCTCCCCTCTGCAGTGTGACTGGACTGCTGCCAGAATGAGGTAAGAAGGCAGACTATTCTGAAAATGAACATAAGACTGAGCTCATTCACAGACACTCTGAGGGTAAACTTGGCTAATCTTTATCTGCATTCAGAAAGGCACTAAAAAGAAGACAGACATTGCAGGTTGTTTTTTTTTCCTCAAACTGTCACAAAGATAAAGCCCCAGCTTTGAAAAAAAGGTGCAATAAATCTTTTCCAGTTCTTGGTAGAAATGGAAATCTTGAAAAATTACAGTATTTTCCCCTCAGGGTTATGAAATGTATTTTCTATACTGCGTGTTATGCATTGTATTTTGGAAAGGAAGAGAGAGACAGAGGAAGGAAACTTAAAAAGTGATTTTTTTAAAAAGCAGAGAGGACATGAGTGTTGACAAAAACTGCTGAGAAAGAGAGAATGAAAGAATAAAGAAAGAAAAGAACAAAGTGGTAAGCAGAAATAAACACCATTAAAGAACAGCAAGTCGAACTACCAGATCCTGATGACTCTGAACATCAGAGCTGGAACCACAATGCTGAGCCAAAGTACAAAGAAATTTCAAGACTAAGTAACAAAAGCTCAGCACTGGTGGTAAGGAATAGATCAGCCTTTGTAGAACCTGAAGCTTTTGGCTGTTTTAGGTACCAGGACATGTTTAGAAGTTGGACATCAGAGTTAGATATCCTGACTCACGATTCCTCTTTCTGTTCCAGCAGAGTTGTCAAAACCAGCGTAAATGAGATCAGGGTTAAACCCTCTGACTAGAATAAAAATGCTGAGAGAAGCTGAGAGCATTCGTTTCCCTGTCAGGTAATTAGCCCTGACTTTCACTTCCTGTGGATATTAATAGAAGCAGTGACCATTTCAACGTACAAGAGCAAACAGACTGACAGATGTGCCAACTTACAGCAAGAAGATGGAGTTGCGGGCCACATCAACTCTTGTTGTCTCGATCTTCGGCCCTGGCAGTCAACATAAACCCCGACGCTGCTAAAACACAGCAGGTATTCTTTATTTGAGATTTCGACTGCACAGATGGCATCAGTTGGCTGCTGTGAGATAAATGATAGTGTGTGGTCGTCCGGATGGAGCAGGCTGTATGGGCTGCCTTCGCCATGAAGGGGATATTTTAGGAAACCCGACTGGTAGCCCACACAAAGACGGTCACTGAAGATTGACATCCACTGGACGTTCCCCTGGACCTGGATCTCCTTGATCTTTTTGTGACGCGTCTTGCTCTGATTTAGTTCATAACAGAGGACCTGTCTTTTCATGGCTACACACAGGCAGGTAAGGGCCCCATGGCGCACGTGTCCAGAAACTATTGACTGACAGCCTTTTGTCTCTGCCAGCTTATAAAACTCAGTCTCCCTTCCATCCAGGGCAGCCATGGGGAAGAGCCGCACGTGACGGTTCCGTCCTGAGATTACTGCAATGAGCTGTTCACTCGGGATGAGCTCAATCTGATGAACCTTCTTATTGTCACCAACACGGATGATCTCTGAAAAAAATTGAAGAGAAAAACCCCCAAAACTGTAAATCCAAGTAAATAAGGTTGAAGTGTGAATTGATTATAACATAGGTATTTGCAAAGATAAACTATGAAAGAAACCCAAGAGATTCCCTTTACTGCTTCCCTGCAACATTAAAACGTACAGAATCAAAACTTGTATTTTATTAATGCCAGATGTGGTAGTTCTGGATAGACCTTTGGCTTTTCCTCACAAGAAGGAGGAGGAGCAGATCTGATGCAATTAAAACCGCTATATTATTTCAGGACTCATTTCAAAAACAGTTAATAGCAACAAAACTATTGAATAAAGGAAAACCCTCAAAGAGTTGACACATGAATAATTGTTGAGCACGCAACAATTAAACATGCTGTTTGTTGAATTAGCTTGGGCATCTGTTATTACTTCTTACAATACTGAACATAAATTTTCATTTCCAGCACCAAAGAAGAGGTTACAAGAAAGGATTATGACACAATTCTTACTGAGGTGCACAGCAGGACAAGAGGGTACAATAGTCACAAATTGAAATGAGGGAGGTTCCTTCTGGATATATGAAGGAAGTGTTTCACTGAGAGAATAATTTGCAACAAGCAGCCTAGAGAAATCATGGAACTGTCCTTGGGGATCTTCAAGACCTGACTGGCCAAAGTCCTGAACAACCTGGTCTGAATTCAGTATTGAGACTGCTTCAAACTGGGGGAAAAACCTTCAACTGCATTCCAGAAGTTGGATCATTGTTACTGAAAAGGATACCCAAACCAGAAAGCACACAGAACACCTTCTGATCTCTCATGGAGCTGTTCAGCTGATAATGTAGTAATTAAAAAAAAATGAAACCAGAGGATATTGAGTAAGAAAAAAGTTTAAAAAGCCACTTTCTGATTATTTAGTATTAGGGAAATTATTACCAGTTCCTAATCTCTTACCGTCTTTGGTGACATGCACAACAAACAACCCTTCTTCATTCCCCAGAGCTATTCTTTCATGGTCTGTGACATTAGGAAAAAAAAAAAAAAGGGTTATTTTTCTTTGGAAGAACTTGGGAATTACTTGAGGAATTACTTCAACAATAGTGATAATTCTCATCAACAGATTTTTTAATATCTTGAAGTAAATGTATATAAAGCCAAACCAATACATTCAAGGGAAAAAAAAAAGGCAACCTCCCAATCTTTCAAATTCTGAAAAAAACCAAGTCTTTTCCCATTTCTTCTATAATAGTAATGGTGAGAAACATAATTTTTAACAAACCACTCAGAGTACTTTAGTGTACCACCAACTTTGAAATAATGATAATATTTAAATAATTCAAATAATCAGAGTTTAACATATTTTATGCAGTAGCATTTAAAATTACTAAATTCACTCTCTGATCTTACATTTTGTCTCTAGTCCCACCAGCAGATTTTGTAAAGTCAATGATTTGCATCTATTCTAGAGTGTTAATTTTGCCCAGTTAGGGAATTATGTTACCAGAATAACAAGAGAGAAATGTCCAATTCTCAGTCAAAATTATAAATAATTATGAATATGAGTGAATAAAGGGAATACTCTTAAAAGATCTGAGAAAAGTACTGGGTAGCAAATTGCACTTCTCTCTTAAGTCCATACACATTTCCATATGGGACAAACCCACTACATATGACTCTCTATCCAGCAGATAACACCATCTAATACATTTTCTTTCTAGAAGAGCATGCTTTTAGCATACTCATTTTTCTCAGAGCTTTCCTCTTATTCATTTCATACCTATGATTGCTGCTGACTGTGTTGTTTTGATGAGGGGCAAGGTGCTGTCATAAGCTTCTTTGGGAACATAGACTGAGCGGTCTTTGAGCTTGTTCTTCTTCAAGATCCTATGCAATTCATTCAGCACGCCCACCCACTTGCTTTTTTCATTCTCACCGTCTGCTAGGATCAGGATTGAACACTTGTTACTGGATGCAGAGAGCTGGGAGGCTGTAACCTGTAAAAAATATACACGTTATGTCATAAGTGAAAAATTTCCTCATGACCATTTTTGCAAGGCTATCAGATGCCTGTAAAAGCCCTTTTAAATAGCTGTTTGAACTAAGAAAGCAAAAATTTAGCCTTAGTTAACAGAAAACACTCTTATCTTATTCTAAGAACCCACAGCAGAAAACCTGTAGCTGTGAATAACTCAAGAGCAGAGAAAATGTTGGTTTTATTCTAAATGCATTTGTGTTTATTCTATAATTCACAAATGTGTGCTCTACATAAGGCACGAAATTGTTTCTCACAGCAATTTTATAACAAAAAGTAATTCTTACAGAGCATTCTGTATTTTTTAAGAGCAAAAGATTTCATTAATAATTCAACACAATAGGAATGGTCCTTATGAAAGAATGATCTGTGATCCTTTTCATGTATTTGATAGAGCTACTACAGATAAAAGTCAAAGTCCCTTTTGTAGGTTTATCTCCTGTAAGCACACAGAGTGATCAACGGTCTAAAAAGTGGAAAAACAAGGAGTAAAATACAATGATACAAAAAAGAAATGATAGGGGAATTAATAAGACACCAAGGAGATTTTATTGAGGTCAAAGCTTCAAAAGACTATCTAGCAAAAATAAGAATATTAGAAAGAACCAATGATGGCAAAACCCTGATACCAGATACTAGACATAAATTTTTATGAGCATTTTACACTACATTTCTATACTGACCATCTGATAAACAGGAGTTTTCAGATAGCCAATGCACATATTTAAAAAAATAGCTAAGATAAAGTCCTCAGGAATAACAGAACTAGTTAAATAGAGAAGCAGAGGGCAACTCTGGGAAATGAAAATGTAGAAGGTCATGATGAACAAAAGAATACAAAACACATCTTACTGTGAAAATTGAAAAATAAAACCCACATACAGTGGAAATGAGAGGTTGTCTAAATGTACCAATGCTATTTTTACCACAAAAATGACGTATGTACAGATCCCTATGCATTGCTGCTGCTGCTGCTGCCATGGATACCACATGGCCAGAACTTGCCAAGGAAATAAAAGACTAGCAAGCTGTCAGTGAATCACACCATACATCACCCTGTGGAACCCTGTATGTCTGGGTTACCAGGATCAAGACATAATACTTACCCTAAAGATACAGGGGATATCTTTTCGATTTGCATGGATGACATCCGAGGCCAAGACAGAACTCACAGAGAATTCTTCATCCCTTATGGAGACCACAAACACAATGGGAAAAGAGTTAAAGAGTAAAATCTGTATGTTTGCTTTTTACGTTTCCAATAGTCTTGTTTTGTGAAGGACACAAGTCAGCACTGAGATCTAATTTTTAAAATTATCCTTTCCTCTGTATCTGCAGATGAAATTCACAAATGCAGTGCTGTATAATTAATTCCTGGTAAATGTTGATGGAGATAAATCTATTTAGATATCCTATATCTGGTTTCTGTTTGTATAAATTAAAACTTTTTAATTAAAAAAAAATCCAACTTAAAAAATAAGGGGGACCAAGAACACCTCTTCCAACTCTTTCATAAAAATCCAAACTCATTAGAAGTTTGAGACTTCCTAGATGAACTAACCTAGATCAGAGATGAGCTTTACTTAGTTGCTATGTTAAATGCTCTCAGCCTTCAGTGAGGTTGGTAGTATTTCAGTACTACTGAAGACAGTGTGAACAAACTATTAAGCCCTTCTGAATCAAAAACTGTACAGTTTTATCCTATAACAAAGTTCTATCTTTCAAAACTCTATTCAACTCCAAAAATAATTTTATTTTTTCTTACTTATTCATTCCAGATCTTCTACACAGCTGAACAGATGCTCTTTGCACATGATGGAGTAATGTAAGTTTGAACGTCCATATTTGAACACACAAGTGCAGTTCAGGTTAACTTCAAATAAACGTTAGAGCTGTTTCTTTTTTCTTTTTCACCAGAAAATCAGAGGCTCTCAACATGGATTACAGGGTTCCATAAAAGCTCTGGAGCTTGCTTACTGACTTCACAAAAAGGAAAAGCAGAACAAAACCTCCCAGTGCCTCTGATAAGCTCCCCCTCAGCACCACTCAGCTTACCTCATGTCTATGACCTGACTCACTATCACGCTTGGCTGGGACGCTTTTCCTTCTGCTACATCGTATAGGAAGAGTTTAAAATCACAGATCACTGCCAGTGCTCTCTGCCAACCTTTCTTTACTCCAGATGGTTTTGGTACCTTTAGAAAAACAAATTCTGATCAACTTTCTGTAGGTCTGGATGCAATCAAAGAACCAAAAAGCACAAAAATCCATTCACTCATCTGGGTTGAAAAGCTTTTTTTCAGTGATAACGTTAAGCAACATGAGCAATAACACAGGAGCAGTAAGAGCATCCAACAGATGATTAAAAAAAATTAGTAGTATCACAGATTCCTTCTTCTTATTTCACAAATTCATTCAGAGCTGTATTAACAAATAGAGAGAATCTCTAGTTGGTCAACAGGGATATAGCCAGAACTATGACAGGAAATTATTTTACTATTTAGGTACAAATATCCACACCAACACCCTAGACAGTAACAAACAGAAAGATTCAAAAACTCACATGCCCTGGAATATGATCTGATCTCCAGACTATTCAAGACCAACTCAAAGCACAATGACCAACAGAGATGGAGAGAGAACTACTGCTGAACATGCTAAGAATTTCTTTGTGAAAATTTGGTTTCCAAAACTAGTACCTTAAAGTATAACTGAATCCATCTCCCACAATGCACCAATTAATTGCAGCTCCGGAAAACAATGAATTTAACCTAAGTGCCCCAAATGCAGCTGTGTGACACTTACTCGGACATGTCCTTCATACGCTGTTCCTATGCCTTTCTGGGGATCTATTCCCAAAGGTCCCTTAGTCTGTTCGGGAGGGATGGGACACACTGCAGGAGCCTTGTCTGCACAGGTCACGTGGCAAGAGAATCCACACACTTGTGAGGAGGAGAAGAAACAAAAAGATTTAATAGTTATTTCTCGTGCAATGCAAAAGTTACAAAAAGATGATGACACTTATACAGGAACCCTCTCTCTTTTCTTGACCAACATCTGAATACTCTCACTGAACTTTGCTACACCGAGACAGAAACAGAAGTCTGCACACAACAGCAGTTCATGCTTTTATCTGCTCTAAATCATTTTTCTCATTTTCAGATAGTTTATGGATACACAGTCTGGTTTCATCCAGGTAAGAAGGCGCCTAAGATATTCTCTATGATTTCCTCTAGGTCCAACTCTACTAGTAAACTAAAAGTTGGAATATCCTCTAAATAATGAGTGTCATTCTGTGTACCTACAGATGGAATAACTGCCATTCAGTATCAATTTGCCTCTTTCTAGAATAAATCAGAATAAATGTCTTAGAAAGCTAAAAGCTGCTGTCAGCATAGCTGACCACTGACTGTGGCCCCTTATTGCTATTTTAAGTAAACTGAACTAAGCTCTTCTACCACCAACTGGAAAAAGTGTGTCCCCAGATAACTAGGTAATCTGTTAGGTAAGATATTTGAAGTGTTTGGCTTCTACTGTTGAAAGACTGAAACATGAGAATCTGTTTTGTTGTTCAAAACATAAAGAGAAGACTCCTGCATGACCATGCTACAACATTTACTGTGTCATTTGCATCTGTAAGAACTTTAGTTCACACTCTGTGCTCTCACAAGTGCTTACCTTCACAAGTGCAGCCCTGTCGTATTAAACCAACCATCAGAGATGTGCACTGATTGCATTTTGTTGGTGTATTGAACGACTTCACTACAAACTGGTGGGCTTTAGGCTGTGAAACAAGCAGACAAGGATGTTAACACCTGCAACACTTCTGAAGAACAGTTATTTTTTTTCACAGACATAAGAGTGCATAGGTTCATTTAAAAAGGCAGCTTGTTTGTGTTTGCTGAAGTGAGATCTGAGCTCCCAGCACATGGGCTGAAAAAAATTCCTTATCAGTGCTGGTTGTTGATAATTTAAAACATCCTCTGTAAACAAAACCATGGAAACTGGACCTTGCCTAGGAACATGAGTTTGCTTCCACTGCAGATAGGAAAGCTGCCAAAATTATTCCATTACACTCTAAAAACCTGACCTGTGTGTGTATGTGCTTGCTGGGCACCCGGTTGCCAGCCAAGGTCAACCCAAAACAGTATTTTCTAAGCTGCAAATTCACTGCTCCTCTGTAAGGAGTGTTGCCTTAGTTCAAAGAAAAAGGGCAGACTTCTTAAAAATTCCAAATTTTATGTCAGAAAGCATGACAGATTTCTGTTTTATGGTGTCCGGAAGAGGCAATTTCAGAACACCCAATTTAAAAGCAAGAGCTGAAGTTGACAGATGAAGCTGATTTTGAAAGGTCTTATCTTCCTGCTATTACTTGGGAACATAGACTACATGAGGAAGTGGTTTAATTCTCTCTCTCTCCTCAAGGATGGCCGTGTTGATGCTACCATATAAAGGTTAAATGACTATGTCATGTGATGGTATGATTCATAAAAGGCCTTATATAAAATCCAGGAAGCTACTTTGGCTTTCTACATAAAATCCCAGTGAAGTAACTACTGGTAGAGAAAGGACAGAGCACAGGGTGAATGCAAAGGCTGTCCAAAAAACCTGGATAATGTACGTGATCTGACAGATGATTTTGCGGACTAATGAGTAGGTATGTTAAAATTTTACTCACTTTCATGTTTTTCACAGTGTAAGATATCACAGCTAAGGGCTCAAACTTATCCATATTTAATGACAGCTTTACTGTTACAATGGAAGCTTTCTGTCTAGAGATGGATGTCTTCTACTGAGACTTACAGGGAAACAATACTTAGCTTTAAAAACTGATGCAATCTAAAAGTAAAAAAGTTCTTTAGAGGACATAATAAATTGTAAAGCAAATTATTACTTACTGAGCAAAATGTTTGCAAAAATTAAATTATGTGTAGAGCAAAATCTGCTTAACATGATTCCAAGTACACTTAAAGCATTTCTTTTAATTGATCTACTAATACACTGCCAACAGAACAGTCTGCTCAAACTACTCAGCTTTCCTTTACACAAATGAATCTTTTGCTACTTTGCAATTTATCAAAGCAGAGAAACATCTATTAGAAAGGCTTACTTACTTCATTGATTAGTTGTAGAAAAACTGTCATTTTTTATCATATACAGAAGATTCTTAAATCACTTCCGAAACTTAAACGAGAAAATTTTTCCTTTCATAGCTTGTATCTTACTCCACAATTACTTGAATATACATAATCCACTGGGATACATAATTCACTGGGAATTAGTGTATGCTGACTGGCTTACTTGGCCAACAGCAACATGATTTCAACAACTGAAGTAAAATCAGTACTTATGCGAGTAAAAACAGAGAAAAACTGAAACCCTTCTTCCAGCCCAGTGCTGCAGTGATGGCTGTAGTGCTCATTCCACATTGCTCATAAAAATGACAATCTATGGTTTCATTTTTAATCTTACTCTTTGCCTTGTCTCAAAAATAAGCATCTAACTAGCACACAGATGTGATAATCCGAGACTGGCCTGCAGTGACACCAGTTTTATGGTACGCAGAGGATACAGAGGCAGGTTTGTCAGATAACACTCTCTTCCTAGGATACCTATTTTCCTTTCTTCACTTCCTGGCTCATTTATCTCTTTCTAAATGTCTAAACTACCATTTTTCCTATAATCAGATGCCTGTGTGCTGCTACAATGGAATTCCTAGTGCAACTTGTCACACTCCATAATGTAAGAATGAGGGGGTTTAAATTTTAGAAAGTAACCAGTTTGCATATAAACAACCCTGGTAGGCAGTTCTGGTCAGATTAGCGTGATAAACAGTTCTCATGAAGCTGTGGCCCAGGGGTGACATTTCCCCTCTTACTACATAAAGAGTGTGAGTGCTTGAGAGAATACCTTTGGTGCAGAGAGTCCTGATCCAATGTATGCTGTCCTCATGGTCGGTGTGTGCATTGAATGGGGAGGATGATCTGTAACCTGAAAACAGGCCCCAAAGGATCAATAAGACATCAAGTACACACTATCAAAGATAGCTTCGAATAAAGGAAAAAGACTTCATTGTCCCACCCACCCCATCCCCAAGCATACAAGCCACGAAACCAAACTGATTTAACACAGGAAAGGACTCGGAAAACCAAATCCTATTTCTCAGCAAAACAACATGCAAGATTCGTCTCCTAAATGTCCAAACTAACTTTGTATTATCTTAAGCATTTGATTAGATATTTTCTAATGTAAAATAACTACAGAGTTAAATTTTTTAACAGGGAAAAGGGATAAATTATCATAGTTGCAGAGTTTGGCTAATATTTCGTAATAACAAGACTTTCAGTAGGACTTCAAAGTGTGTTTTTACAAACTACAGTACAACAGTATCTTTGTGCCAACATTTCTTAAATATTCTGAGGATATGTTATAAAGAGAGATTATAACTAATAATTGATTCAAGCTAGTTTCCATCCCTATTCAATTAACCATATGTGAAAGGAAATGCAACATTCTTCAAAATACAGTTCACCACTAGTGCAGAAGGCTATCACAAGGTCCTAAATAGACTTGCTGCAGAAGAGTGAGCTTCATCCTAAACAAAAGGATTTCCAATAGTAATTTTTGTGCAAGTGAAACTGTTACTCCTAAAAAAAAAAACCACAAAGATTTTTCAACAGTGAAGTACCTCGATTGGCTCAATCTCACTAGCTGTAGAAGGAGACCTTGATCTTGAATGGAGGTGAGACTTGCTATCTTCATCCCGTGACGGAGTATTAGACAATGTAAAATTCTCAACTGAATCAATCTAGGAGAACAATTCAAGAGAAAAAACAACAACCAAAGAAATAAATCAAAAACATCATTAAAAAAGAATTCTCAACTCTTACCAAAATAAGATATGGGAGCAGTAGATTCCTAAGAGAGAACTGAGAGGATAAAAATTCAGTTTTAAGCAATTTCCTGATTGAAAACCACAAAAATGCAATGAAAATTATTGAATACAAACACGCCAAGGCTTCTGCTGAGAGGTGAGCACATGCATAAGAGCTGCTAGGTCAGAGGCCTGATAAACACTCGAAGAGACCTGTAACTCAGGATTTTTAAAGGGTGAATATTTTCTAAACACAACTGGGTTTTGTCCATTGCTAGTAGGGATTTGTTAGAAATGAATTCCCATACATACCATGTAAATTATTGTCAACATATTCAGGAGAAAACAAGGAGAAAAGACAGAGTAAAGAGTATATTTCCTGAGGCTAGTGTTAATTCTATTCACAGAGAACTGGAGGGGGTTTTGGACCCCATTTGAACTACAAAAACATCCTTACCAAGCATACAGTTTCTTCAGGGAAATATTTTCCTGGTCCTTAATATACACAATGAAACTAAGCCCAACACAGAGCTACACTGAACAACATGGCATAAAGGTACAAACAGGTATCTTGGAAAACAAGTCATCTTTTGTTAGTCCAACTGAAAAAATTAGAGAAGGCACGATTCTCCTTTGAAAACAAGATGTCTTCACAAAGTTTTCTATGTCAAAGTACATATAAAAGAAAAAAAAAAAAGGTGAAAATGTTTTTCTCCTCTAATAATAAAACTAAAAGATGGAGGCCTCCAGAAGGCTCTGTGGGGATGCCTGGAGTTTTTGAAGCAATGCTATCATCAGCTCTCCGTTGCCAAGGCCTGTGCTAGCTTGCAGATAAATTAAAATATGCAGCAATGTTTATAGGAAGCATTTGAACATTCCAGTGTTTTTGATCTCATTTGCCACGGACAATGCTAGGAATTCCACAAATTTTACCGCTTTCTGGGAGTCAGATATATTGCCAAGCCAATCTAACACATGCATACACAGTCCTGTTCTCCAGAAACTCAATCACGGTAGCGAACAGGTGCAGTTGTTAGTATTCTTTTTTAGTTTTTTTTTTTAACAGCAGTGAGTTATAAGTTTGGTGTCTTCTAGTTTTACCATCACCTTCAAAAAAAGTTATCAGGTGGAGAATCGTTCATCAGTTTCATCAACCTAGGCATAGTAACATGCCTGCAAGTATTTCTGAAATGAAAACAGGAAATTCTCACACTGGGATACACCTGTTTACTACACATAGATCACGCGTTTCAAGCACTGAAGCAAAAATTAGCAGTAAAGCAAACATTCTGTGCTCAGATTTATCAGAAGCAAATAGTAATTGAAAGCTTTACCCAGTATTAGAAACTTAGATGCCTGAAGTAGTAAATCCCCAAACACGTTTCAATTATTTTAACCTTTTTTTATAATCCAGTATAAACATGTGATAAATTGGGGTCCACTGAAAGACTGTTTAACCTTCAACAATTCTACCTTCTCCTTAAAAATGTTACTAAAAAAATAAGCCCAATGAGTAACTACAGGCAAATTTTTTCATAGCAAGAAACAGACATTCCTTTTTTTCTGCAAGTTAAATTCAGAGATCTAATCTATCATTTCATAAATGTTTCCAGATACTTCAATCTTTCCCTTTCAAAGTAGCATCTGCATACCAAAGAATTTTCATGGTGTCTGTGAAAAAAATTTAGTACAAGCTTGATATGAATGATGGAACTTTTCTGGAATGTGCTACAAAGCCTTTGTGGTTCAACGCAACTGCTGAAACAGTAACAAACGTATTTCTACTTTACTTATGAACATAGAAAGCCCACAAAACACACTGAACCTGATCTACCATTACAGAATTTGAAGGGAATTTAACAACCACTGTTGCTGCAGAAACAAGGCCTTGAGCTGTATTGCTGCAGTGATCTCAGGTTCCTTGCTTTAATGAGAAGAACTAATTACAAAAGCAACATGATTCAACTATGGTCAACAGTTTACAAAGACGGTGTTAACACCATTCAAATTGGTTTTAAACAAATCCATTGGATTATCAAAAGCAGACTTCAATATTTCCTACCAAATTGTAACAGCCTTGCTGTCTTCCACAGGACTGTGCATAGTTGTCTACATGAGCCACCTGTACAGGCCTGAGCCAAAGCTGGCCAGTGTATAAACACATCTTGAGGAGAGGGAACTCCTCAACTGGAGGCATCGCCAACAAAAACAAGCAGTTACTGCAAGTTTGCCTAAGACACTGAGTGGTGTGCTTTGAACTGCGTGGGTAAGGACATTATTGGAGCTGTTGGGCAATATTGCTTATTCACTGAATATTCAGTATAAATACTTTGTATATGCACTTATTCCTACCCATCATATGTGTATAAAAGATAAAAGAAGTGGTAGTATGAGTTTAAAACGGACATAACATACCTGGTGCAAATTCAAGTCCGAGAAGCCTTTGATAACACATGTGAACACGTTTAAGAACCCATCACGACTTTTGAAACACCAAAGGCTTTTCCAGATTACCAATTACAACCCATCCCTTTCCATTTTCCCTGCATGAATTTTTCCTACCCTTCTCGATGCTCTATTTACTCAATTCCCCACTTCACATTTATTTATCTTTGTACTATGATATTTTCTATCATTTGCTGTGATGTGCCTCCACAATGACAAACTTTAACCTTCTATAGGCAATTCCCATAACCTAACACATGCCTTCGGCTAAAGGCAAGGAAATAAACAAGCCCTCATTTGATGTTTGCTCATCTTCCCAATCTGCATCTACCTGATCAGTTTTCACACAGAATTTAAACACTGAAATGAGAAAGCACTCAAAGCATCTTCTCCAGTTACTGTGATATTCAGCCCAAAGGATTACCAAATGAAATACTCCAAAAGCTTTTAGCTCACAGCTGTAAAACAATAAAAAGCACAGCAGTAGCAGCAGCAAACAGCAGCAGCAGCACAGAACATGCAGTGAGGTAAATACACAATCCATACATTAAACATAGGCATGGACACAACAGGCAAAAAATAAAGGGCCACATAGAGTAAGACAGCCTCTTACACGTCTGCCTTTGTTAGCTGGAATACAGGAAGGAGAGCGCTTTAACAAAGAAAGGAGAATATGTTACAAAACTGAACAGTGACACGTACATCACCTCAGAATTCCACGCTCTGTATCTCCAGAGATAGTGCTTAGACACACACAAACATGTTCATTTTTACTAGTATTTAAAAAACAAGATATTCTGGGGCAACAAGAGGGAAGAAACAAAAAAAAAAGGAACCGCTATTTCAAGTCTGTTGTTTTACACTGGATAATAGCAGGGAAACTGCAGACTGCACTGCACTATTAATTTGCATCTCTGTGCTTTGAACAAGATGAATGAAATAATCTATTGGAGGTACAATACGTCCAATTTAAATTATCATTACAAACCAGATTTACTCTAACCTTAATTATGAATGTGCAAGTAAAGTCAAAGTTCTCACCACTACTGTGCCTTATTCTGTTCAATAATAAAAATTCAGAACAACATTTATTCTGTGGCTATTTGTTCAGATTTGTTTAGTCTAACTAAAGCCCACGAAGACTGTATGTGAGGACAGACTGCAGGAGGACTTAAGAAATTTATATTTAATTCGTAATGTGTTAGTAACAGGGGAAAAACTAGTTTCTTTGAGCATGTGGTAAAAATAACTTTGTCAAGGTAAAGTAGGATTCCATTTTATTATTCATAAATAATCACAAATTCATCCTTAAATAAAATAAGTTGACTGCTTGTAGTAGCTAGTGAGATACACAAAGATCCACCTGGTAAAGAAACAAAACCCAACACTTCCATTATCAGACAATTCTAGTGAACACAGGAGACTTAACACCTACACAATGTTACTGAGAGACAGCCTGAGACACACAGGAGAAACAGCAGCAGAGATTTAGAGATCAGTCTATTAGAGTCACTGGGGGTGACTTCCCTCTCCACCAAAACCAGTAACCAGGGACTGCAGAAGCCATTCCTACTCCCCTTGCTGTGCACACAGGAGACACGAGGGTCATTTCTGAATGTGTGGACTTTCACAGCTGTGAGGATTTAGGCACCAGTTCTGCCAATCTGACCAAGCATCTTTTCCAGGCAGGACAGCTGGAATCAACAGTGACTGCTACTCATCTGAACAGTGAGTTATCACTTCTTGCTCAGCATCTGCAAGCTACAGAATCAGCAGGACATCTATTTTTATTTCTCTCCAGTGGCAATTGCAAAACTACTGTTTTCCTCATTGAAAGAATTAGAATTAACTTCAGGCATTCACAGAGTGCTATAAATAGTTATTTGGATGGCAAACACACAAGACATATCCACCCCAGTAAACCCAGTGCTCTGTACACATCTACATGCTAAACAGACTTCAAAGATCTTGCAAAGAGTGCCTTGTAACTGCACATAGTTTTAAACACTCTTTGTCCTTTCTAAACGAAGCACAGAGTCTGCAGAAACAATACAGGCCATTATTAATATTTACTTTGGGTTCCTGATTAAAAGAGAGGCTTTCCTGAAACCCATGCAATATTGCAGCACTGCACGAGTCTGACCTGAGGACTTCTAACTCTTCCTTGGTCTTAATATAAAGAGCCCACACACTTCTCAGGTTTGACTGAGCACAGATTAATTCTTCTGGAGATGCTGCAAGAAGCACTGCCCTTCAAGGCAACTACTATCAAAAAGAGTCACATTCGGTGGGCAAGGATTTTTAGTACCCTTATTTTGATTTAAGTCCATCTAATATATTGATACTAAATGAACTCAATGAGCTAAATCATGAATAACCATTCATTTTGATAATTCAGAGAATATATACCTATGAATGAATCAAGTAATTGTCCAATAAATTAAATATCCAGAATGGACTTTAGGCACAAGTGAATGATACCATCTCTCACCTACTAATGCAGATATCAGCTTTATTTCTCTTTCTAACAAATGAATCTGAGAAAGAACGATCCTTTTGGACTCAAACTGAAGATGTAACAGGAAGTTTGACTCCATGTGCAGTAAAACATCTCCATACAACAGTATACACATTAATACCTGAAATTGTACCCCAGACTGAAAGGTGGGTATCTGCAAAGATTCATCTGGGTAGACCAATCAAGAATTGTTCTTAAAGGATGTACAGCAGTAGTTGAAAACTACTTATTTGCATAGAGAAAAAAAGAAAAAAAAGAAAAAAAAATCTGTGAAAATGCTTGTGGAAAAGAAATGCTGCCTTCTTTAAAAAAAACCCCAACCAACAACAAATACAGAATTAAGTGCTGAAGTCCTTCAAAATTAACTAGATATCAACCAGGAAAATATTCTCATCCTAAACTTCCTCTTGAAAAATAAAACATTACCAGTTACTCTACTGCATATGTACTTTATCTCTCTTTTAACAGGTTTTAGGACAGAGTTTTAGATATTTTTAAAGGTACCTGCCTATGAAAGAAACTGTTGATACAAACTAGGAGTTCCTAGTATTAAGGTAACATAGAACACTTCTTTAATCCAGATAAAGGATATAAATATTATTCATCTATTGTGGGTTTACATGACAAGAAAGGGTGCCTTCATTTTTTTTTTTGTGTAAGAAAATTCCAACAACATCAGCAAGCCCAAACTTTTCCGTACACTATACAAAAATGCAGGCAAATGTCTTCTGTGATACCACAGATTTATCTTCACATTTTGTCTAGGGTATATACCCAGCTTACAGAGAAAAAGCATCCAGAAGGAAAGCATTGTTTCAGAGTAAGTGAAAGAAAATGAAAGCAGTAGAATAGACCCATATACTATATCCTCTTTGCTACACCCTTCACAGCAGACATTTCTCAAATAAAAGTAATTATTTCATATTTCAATGCAAATAGGATGACAACATGTTAAATATACATGTATAAATATGTGTGCATAAACAAATATACGAGCACAGACAGACATACACACACACACACAGGATACCTACAAAGTTGTAATGGACGGGTGTCTACCATGGATGCATAGTATACACTTTGATTTCAAAAAAGTTTATTGTTAATTACTTTTATGTGCCTACTATTTCAGTTTGGGAGAAATATAATGCAGTCAATTTTCAGCTTTTAACTCAATTCTCTTAGTATGCAATTAACTGGTCAAAAAATTTAAACTGTCCTGACAGAAAGCCTGCACCTCAAATGGCAATAAAAAGTAGTAAGTTCACCTCAGTTATAATGAAAATTACTTTTCACAATATAGGCTAAAAAAGAGACAATATTTTATTTGAGCAAACAGAAATTAACTGTATGCAAGGAAAGCATTTTAAAAGAAGTGATTAGAAACCTTTTGGAAACAACTAATGATAAAGGAATAATATGAAACAATAGAATAAAATAAAATAAATGTTCCAGTGATTTTGGGACCATTTTCCACAGGCCATATCAAAAGATAAGGCCTAAAAGCAGCTTTTCTCCATCAGTAAAACTCTTTGCAATTAAGAATTCTTAACCTGCACCTAATGAAAAACATTTACCTTAAAATGGAACACCTATCTATATAAATAGACGTAAGTGTGCTATTAGAGAAATACTCTGTTTTCTACTGCACTTGTAGATTTTTTTAAGTTGACTGCATTAATGTCTGAATATTCCAAATCAATCAACTGATCTGTTATTAAGGGATTTACTGGGTTGAAAGTCAGACTTACGTCATCCATAAAATCAATCAATGAGGATGAAGAGGAGGAAAAGGAATCCTATTTTAATGAAAACAGCAGTAAAAAAAAGAGAGAGAGAGAGAGAGAAAGAGATGGATGAAGAAAACTGTGCAATATAAATAAAATTGCAAAAATAAAGAACTGTAAATAATTAGTGGCAGTAACAGTTACCTCAGTAAGTTTTCATTAATTGCCTTTCATAGACAATTAATCAATAATCTACCTGTAAAAAACCCAGTGTTTTTCCAGCACTCACTCAATAAAATATATTCCTATACTCCAAGAGGATTCTCAAATTGAAAGTAACTTATAAGATGATTAAAAAGAAAAATTAAAAATTGTGTTAATTGTGAGGACTTCAAGAGAGAACAATGAATTAGTGAATACATAATGAAAAAAGCACATTCTGGAATATTAGTAACATCAGTGTTTATGCCCTTTTACAGCTGAATGCAATGACCTTGTACACGCATCAGGGAAAAAATGGGCAAACTTTAGACCAACGTACAACTATAAAGGTGGTGCCTTGTCCCCTCTGAATTCAGTCTGACCAATATTTCACCCCAGCTGCTCTTTTACAAGAAAAATGATGCATTGCTTACTGTTGATTAAAAACATAAGATAATAAATGTACGGTATTGTTTCAATTTTTTTTTCTTCTAGGCTTTCTACCTAAACTGGTCTTTTGTCTAAAAGTGACGAGGGTATAAAACAGATTCATTTTTAAGTATATAGGATCTGTGGAGAGGAGATGCATAGCAGTTATCTGGATTTTACAGATCTGTGTAAAATGAACTGATGATGAAAACAATCTAATAAACAGTATTAAGGACTTCAGGGGATACAATCAAGGACTATTCATATCTTCTCTCATTTTTATCAAACCACTATCTGTATGACTCAGTATTTTTCTGAATACAAAGAAAAGCCATTTGAACAACTATGCTTTTCATGTTCACCACAAACTCAGGCAAATTTCTGCGTTCAAGATTTCAGAGAGAATTCACTATGATTACTAGCACTCAAGAGAAGGCAGCCAGCACTGTAAATGACAAACAGTTCTCACATATTATTATACACAAGTATAAATGGGGAAGTACAATTAAAATGCAGTAGCAAACTCTCAGCAAATATGCACATAACCTGCACACCACAGCAGTTCCGCTGACTAACAGAGTTAAAAACAGCTGTAACACTTACTTCAAATTGATCCAGAGCAGAGGTAGGCGCATTCAAAAATGCCAAGAAAGAATTCTGTGAGTCTTGGTGCTTTACACCTAGAAAACAGCAGCAGGTTTTTAAGCTACAGAAAAATAACCTTTTCATGGAGGACCTCTGCCTTGCTGAATCAGGGTTTGAGTGTCCACCTGAAACACCTACGTGTTTTGAAACATGTTGCACATTTGGTCCATTTTCCACAGCAAAAGATTTTCTTTAATAGACAAGTGTATGTTTAATTAACCTCTTCCAAGCTAAGATGTTTGTGTGGTATGAGTTCAATGTGAAAACACACTGTATGCACATGTCTGTTATGCAAAGGGCACTGGTTTCTAATTGTTCATGCCCATTTGCACCACACACTAACGTAGCAGGTGCCATCCTGTGATGACAGGACAGCTGGAGCGGACAGAGAGGTTCCACAAAAACATCCAGAAAACACTGGATGGGTTCCTTGACCCATGCTCTATGTCAATCTGCCACCTCTCACTGCTGAATGCCCAGGAGTAACACAATCCTGGGTAAAGCTTCAAAAGTCTCTGTCACACAGCATCATTTAAGTGATGTACAGCCAGCGAGAGGAGCAGGAATGCTGCATCCCCTGGAGATGCAGAGGCTGGCACATCCTGACTGTTACTTTAACTTGCTTCAACTCATAGCTTTTTTTTCTTTTCTTTGGGGCATAATTCAAGTTGCTGTGTGGGTGTTTATAGATCACAGATGTGTATAAACTCTATCTTCCGGAATTCTGTAAATGCATTATACACACATACATATAAATACTTTTTATGAACAAAGCCTGCAGGACTGTGTGCATATCAAAAGAATGATGCTATCAAAGGTTACTTCCTTCTTTCAAAACATGTCAGTGTCTTGCTCTAAATAGAACCCCTAGTCAATGATGAGGTTACAAGAACCCTTTCCTCTTCAAAATATAAATACACCAAAATACCAACAAAATACTAAAAACAATTTTCAAATTACCTGCTACTGATAATAATTTTTTTATCAATCTTTTTCCCCACCTGCTAAATTTCTGGAATATATTTATAAAGAGCAAAGGACTCAAGTGCTAACCCAAGCAATTCCTACCTAGAAATAAATTTCCACACACTATAAGTTACTCCACACTGTACCTCATGTACATTTGAATCCTCTACACAGTTCATGATTCAAACATATATTTCTTCTTGTAAGAGAAAACCAAGTCCAAAGATGATATGGACTTTGGATTAAGGTGGATTTCTATCAAAATATTTGAAAAATTGTAGAATATTACTTATTTACTTCCATTAAAAAACATGACTAACTTTTCCTTGGACACTACTTTTGTTTGCTTGTTTGTTTTAAGAAAAGAGGAAATGTTTATCTCTGTTTTCACCAAAACAATAAAGTTTTAAATACTGGAAAAAATACAGGGTAAAGTATTAATTATAAATTCATAATAGATTATTTCAGAAGTCAAATAACCATGCATAATATTTACGACAGTTCAAGAACATATAAATGAAAGTTAAGCATGACAAAGTATGTTTGTCTCCAGGGAGATGCTAACAAGAGCTTCTCTCCAAATACTTGGAAGAAGCGTCATCCTGGTATCCATGCTGAACATCAAGTTGAACAAGTATCAATTCCCTAAGTCTTATTTGCTAATTGGCACCAGTAATTTTTTAATATTGTGTATAGGTTTGAATTATTTTTACAAGTCAACCAGCATTTGGAGACCTATATATAGGAGATGACTGTTAACTACAATCCATTATAGACTGACATGCCATTAGGTTGCAAAGTCTGAACAGTATTTTACATCCCTATGCAGCAATTGTTGCCGGGGTATTGAAATTATGGAGTTAAAACAGTTCCCTACAGAAAATTAGGTAATTCCATTTGGCCTGAAAAATACTTCTTCCCATGTGACTCATAAGATACAAATATTAGAGCTACTACAGAAACTGCAAAGAATCAGGCAACTCATTAATCATCTCTTATTGAAATCTTTGTTGTTGTAGAATTACCGAAAAAGTCTCTTCTCCCAGCAACAATGCGAAATACTGTTAGTCAGATGCATCAGTAATCCCAGAACATACTCTTAATACCACAGCAAAGCAATCATGACCACACTGCTCACTGTGTGCTTACAAAGCCTATCAACAAAGTCATCCCAGAAACAAATAAATGCTATAAATTCCACTGCAGTTGTTTTCTCTCTGTGTAGACAGACCCAAAACATTTATAAATGATCAGTATTGAAGTCTGAATACCTTCACCCATCATAAAGGAGAAAAAAATTAGAAATGTATCTATACTTCTAGCAGTTTTCTGGCAGTGAATCAACATATCCATGCCAAATGAAAACAACGCAGTTCCAACTCAAATAATACCTTACTGGTTCAAGTGTATCAAAACTGAAGCGTATTACAAACACTGAAAGTGCAAATGCAACTGCTGTGGGTACATCTTAACACACAATTGTGCTCACATTTTGTATGCCAAAGTCTGTTGGTATCATATTTTAGTTGCAAGGTGAACTTAACTGATAAGATGTACCCAACCAATGTGAAACATGCTATTTACTTGGATATCAGCTGCCATACCCTTTTCTGATCTAAGCTCTTCTGTCTCCTTTTTCAGCCTTTCAATATCTGCCAACAGCTCCATGTTCTTCTTCTCAGATTCTTGCAATTTACTTCAAAAGATAACAAACAAAAAAATGTATGTAAGTATTGAGAAACCACGTTTTTCTGTCCAACTTTGCATGCTATTTAAAAATTAATGCCCAGCAAGGTTCATGGTGTCTTCCAATGCCAGAATGAATGCAGAAATCTGTTGGGATCTGTTTAGTATGGTACCTTATAAAAAAAACAACCCAGAAAAAACTAATTAATTGTTCCAATTTATCCATTAAATAGGCTTGTGTTTCTAATTCCTAAGTAATTGTGTGAGCCTGTATCCTGTAAATGAGAAAAAAAGACCATATATATTTTTATACTTAAAATCTTGGGGATTTTAAATTTGTTAATTCAGTGCCTGTAATACCAATAGATTATCTTGAATTGTTTTTTCCTCAGTTACTTTAGAGTTATCCAATTCACAGTTGATAAGTAACAGTATTATCTCTTTTTTTGAGCACTTTTCTTATTCTTGCCTATCAAAGCAAATACTGGTTCTCCTGTTCTTAGAGGATCTCCAGGGTTGCCTATCATCACGTTACCTGGCCTGAAAAACAAACAAGGTAGGTGCACTCGGTGTTCCCACTTTACAGGTAACATACCTGAACCTCAGCTCTGTCCAAAGCTTCTGCTTTCCCTAAAGCTGCAAACCACAGCAGTGCTCTGAGCTAGACTGAAGCTGGACACCTAGACATGGAATGACTTCCTCCCTGCTTCAGGCATCCACCCAACTCAGAATAAATTTAGTTGGGGGGTGAGGGTGACAGGGTGGAAAAGAGAAAGAGGCCCGTAGAAGGAATAAAAGAATTCATAATATTCCATGGCCATTATTACTTATTACTGTGCATATCACTCTGCAATAATTGATTTTAGTCAGCTAGCCCAATGCAGTTATCAAAGGAATGGAAAGGAGTATGTTCTAAGACACAAAACCAAACTCTGCCTGGATTTTAACTTGTTATCACTATGAGGAGAAATTATATTACTAAAGAGAAAGTGGAAGTCTTCAAGATTTCAATTTTCCCCAGTTAGTGTTCAGCTACTCACACAATGATGAGAGATATGGTCTTTTTTCACATTTGGGTATTTGAAAGAAGCATTATCATTCATTATCAAATTTTGACAGACAGGATAGTTAAAAAAATGATTTGATGACATTTCCTGAGAGTTATCAAAGTAAACTGGCATCAGAGCAATTCAGTCTTACCACTCTGTAGAGATACAGGAAGCTTTGACTTTGTTCAACTCATCTTGAATAGCCTGTTTGGCTCGGATTTCAGCATCAAGAGCAGACTGGAGCTCCAGCCTTGCAGACATATCCAATTTTGCAAAGCGGCGCATCTTCCAGGGCATGTCCTAGGAAAGCACAAAAAAAGGGAGAATAAAGAGTAAGCGTAAAGAAAGTTGAAAATGAAGAATGTAGCTAACTTCAACAACTTTGTTTCTCAGCCTATTACATGCTTAATGTAGGAATTCGTTAATTCCAAAGTCATCTAAAATTAAACATTAGGAGTACACAAAAAGTGTTAGTAGTAGTATTATTTTTGAACTCTAGTAATAAATAGGCAAGATTAATATTATATGCTGATCTCAAAAGCAAAGAGATTTTATGAATTTTAGTTCTGATGTGCCTCAATTCAAATGACAGCTACAAAGGACATTCACATTTCAAAAGTGAAAGTCTTGAAGTTTTTCATGAACCAAAATATGATTTCCTCCAACAAATTCATATATGGTTATAAAGTAGCTATCTGAACAATATAATAGACAAAATAATTAAAATGTACTGGTGTTTAATTAATTGAAAAACAATAAAGTTGCTATTCAGTTATTCAGAAGGGAAGCTCTAGCAAAGTTCAACTTTTGATTAACACAGACTCTAAAGGCAGACTATTTCTGCAGCTGAAACTATCAAATCAGTGGTTTTTTTCCAAACAAAAACCCCTCTGACATATGGAAGTAAAGTCTTACTGTAGCTCTTGCACCCAAACTGGAGTTCCTCAGGGCTTCCAGCTCTTCTGTCATTTTAGAGGCCAAGGCTTGAAGATAACCTCGAGCATCTTTTTCATCGCTTACCCTAAACAATTACATCAGAAGAATAACGTGTTTTAACCAAAGAATCTAAAGAAAAAACAGAAGTCTCTTCAACAAAATAACAATCAGAGACAGATAAAAGCAGAATACAAAAGAAAAATCATAAAACATAAGGAAATGAACAATCAACAAAAAACCCCAAACAGAAAACCACACAGAAATAATGCTTTGTTGCTTTGTGGAGTTCCATTAAACAATATGAATCGATAAGGAATGAAGACTGAAGAACCAGATATCTGAATACGTAATGTATGTCTCAGCATAAACATCAGCTGCCTGAAATTGAAACAGTGGGAAAGAAACCTTTCATAATTCAACCTATTTTTAGGGAGCAAATTAAGACAAAATTCACATCCTGGAATTAACAATCCAACTGTCAATATAATATTGGAATTAGTGGTTGGCTTTACTGTACCAATTGACTAGGAGTATTAGTAGTTAAATCAAACAGTGACGTTACTTCAAGAAATGCTAATTAAATAGGGAGAGTCTACTTCTAATGTTATTAAAGAGCATAAGCCAGAAGAGGCTCTCTCATCTAGCAAGCTTGCTTTCTATCAAGACGTGTTTTATGGGTGTAAAGACAACAAGGAGGAGACGTGTCTGTTTTTCAGATTCTTTGATCATCAGTTACAAAGAAAGAACAACAACTTTCTGTGATTAATCACAACAGTAGGTTCTTTCTTCACTTTGCCTCAGGTGTTAACACAGAAAAGAAAGCTGGTAAAAAAATTAACTCACTGAAACTAAGTAGCTTATGAAAAACCTAAACCAAACAAACAGAAAACCCCCAGCATCACCCCTCCTACTCTATTTCCTTACATGCATGGCTCTGAACATGTTCATTTTGCCCACAGAAAAGCAAACTCATTTCTGCAACACCAGGACATATGCAAGTTCCTGAGCTAGTCTCAGAGACCAGCAGTCTAATACCACAGCTTGATCACAGCTTGATAGTTAAGTCTATCAGCATCAAACACTGAAATGTTTAGGATGTGATCTAATGAATGAACCTTAAATAATTTAAAATAAAATACAGGAAAGTGGGAAGACAGTTTTTCTATTTCATGAAATCAACTTATCCTTGCTTCCTGAACTTTCCTTAGTAACTGTAATCCTGAGTATGTTGGAGTGCAGATGAGAGTTCTCCAGATGGTTAATTTTGTCTCAGAGTGACCTTTCTGCAGAAAGTGCTTCCCTCCATGCCTACAGAGCAATGTAAGTTTTTCCAGTTTATTCTACGAGGTTCACACACACACTGAATATGGTAGTGGTGCTACTCGCAATTTTACTATTAATTATAAAAATATAAAATTTCAACACAGACTTATAGTCACCAAGAGGCAACAGAGAGTACATACTCTGAACTGCCACGGGCAAGGGAGGAACAGAAGAGCATTCCCAGAGTGGCCTTAGGGCAAGATCACAGTGTGATAGCCACAGGCTAAACATCTGCAGGTTGTGGTGACTTTTGAGCGGGCAGTTTAAAATTTACATAAGGAAGACAGACTGCTTTAATACAGAGGAGGCAAAGGCAAAATTAGCAACCATTTCCCACAAATCTCACACCCAACAGGAAAATGCAAGCACTTATTCATGCCTTGGGCTTTCTCTTCTTTGTCTCCTGCTTATAATTTAGTTCAAGAGATGGGGAGGAATCTAGAAAACCCCACATGTCCTGACTATGAAAGTCAGTGAGAGTTTTGATAGTAATGAGTCCCTATTTTTCCCAAGGTTTATCAGAACTCAATGGAAGCAGCATACCAACTTCTTTTCTCATAACATTCTGGATGACACATTTTGACAACCAGATACAGATAATCTTGGCCTACACAAAACACTTAGGCTATAAGAGTGGGCAAAAGACATGAGAAGTAGTTTAAGATGTTTTTTAGGGGGGTGGGCACATAATTAAATACATTGCAGAAAAAAGTGTAAGCAGGAATAAAAAGAATGTGAGGCTCTCAAGGTGAGAAAGTAAGTTTTCCTGAGGTACTTTTAATGACACATAAAATCTTTACAGAATAAAGGGACAATGCCACAATGAAAAATAAAATTAAATTGGTGCCTTATGTTTTAACTTTTCTAAATGAAGCTGAAAAACTTTAAGTGTCCAATTTCTTTGTCAATTTTTACCATGCCATATAGACCCCTACTTATGGAAGGTGAGAAAACACCAATTATTTGGTTTATGACGCACAGAACCTTCATGCTCTAAATGCTGAAAATCTGCACATGCAGAAATCTCAGAGAGATGTTCCACAGTCATGTAGAAATCTAGAAAATGAAAATAGTCAGATATTTTTACAAATATCTGTACTGAGTTCAAAGGAACTCTTCAGACTCTGAAAAGACAGTAAATAAAAGTACAATTTGGAACTGAGGTAGTTTTGTTGTCCACTAGATGGCAAAATTCTCTCAGTAATGACAAACATTGATGGAATATTAAGTGGATCCAAGAGCTCTGGGAGCTTTTTTATTTGTTTCTGCTTTGCTGGTGTCGTTTCATTTAGTTGGCTTAAAAAAAAAATTTAATAATAATAATAATAATAATAATAAAAAGAACAAGAATGGTAAAGTTATTCTTACTAATGTTTCTCCCTTGTCCTTAATCTGACAGAGAGCCCTGACAAGCACAACAAGAGACCTAAGGAAGGAAAGTTCTTCAGGTTCCACCCAGTCATTTCTTTCTTTACTGAAAATTGAGATTAACTGTTCTGTTTTCATATCTCACATATATTTATTCATATATAATTGCCCTTGTAAGCTTAGTTCATTAACTGTAAAGAATCTAGAACAGCAATATAGTATAAATTCCAGTAAAATTAAATTTAACCTTCCAGTTGGAGCGAACATCATGACAATCTCCAAATAACTACTGGCTGTTATCTAGTATGCCATCTGTCCGACTCCCTGTATCCAGCTGGGATACTTTACAATACAAAGTGGACCCAGAAGACCAGAGACTTTGCTCAACAGGAGCGTTCTTAAAGACCTGGGGTTTTACACCTGCTCCATCACACCTGATTTAAAAACCCCAAGGAAATCTGAGAGTCAAGATTCCCATTTCTCCTGCAGTTTCTCAATGTTTTTACATTTCTGTTGTAGTATCAGTATGCTCAAAGCAGACTTAACATTTTTCCTTTATCCCTGCTCTCTCCAAGAAATTTTTTTTTTAAAAACTGCTTCTCTAAAAATTTTCAACACTTGACTCTGCTCTTAAACCCTAAAATTTCCCCCCACCCTCCAGATTTTCTATTTTAGAGATAATTCTGATTATTTTTACCTCAAACAGAGTGTGTCTCAGAATTTTCACTTTCTGAGTTTCTTACAGTTGAATTTGCCCATAATTTTTGCTAAATCTTTTTCACAATTTGTGTGTGCTTTCTTCTGAGAGCTACCAGACTTTTTACGTTTGATTTAGTTCAGAAATGTTGGGGGAGGTGGGAAGGGGAGGGTTCGTATTTTTTTTTGTTTGCTTGGGGTTTTGCCTTGTTTTAATTCCAATGAAATCAATAATTTAGATAAAATCAACCATAATATAAAAAATATCTGGCTGACAAGGAAAATATTAACTGAATCTTTCGGTAAACAACAGCCACAGCTGGCCCAACATCCATTCTGTCGGTAAAACAGGTGGGATTTAGCTCATCCACATAAACATACTCAGCAATACAGAATTATTATCCATTTGAAATAGTTGTTTAGGCTTCCTTTTCAATCAACTGTGAGACAAACAGACTTCTACAGTACTAGCCACAGGATTTATTTGAGTTGTCTACATTAGGACTTCCACAACTAGGTTACACGAATCCCTCCCAGAGAGACTAATAAGTTAAGATTCTTGCCAAGTACTCTTGGGAATCACTACCAAGATTTTCATTGACCTCCTTTCTGCACAGCACAGAAATACAGTACCGTGGCTATTTAAAAGGTTCCTTTTTAAAGTGACTGCATTAACCTCCAATCCCTTTCCTCTTTCCCACAGGAAAATTTATAGCCGACTATAAAAGCCTCAATATTTCTTACTCTTGTCAAGGAATGATGAGTGATTTGGCTAATATAAACTTGTCAATATAATAGTTCCATTAAGGATGAATGATCTGTGAGGATCTGTTGTGTCCACAACAGAATTTGCAATGGAAGTTTGATACATGTGTTTATATTAAAACTTTGCCTACATTTATGGTATCTTGGGATAAGAACAGCAAAATTAAAAGGCTTTTGTACATTACCTCTAAAACAGATACAACAAAGCAGAGTCAGAAAGCAGGGAAAGGCTAAAGAGAACGTGATAGGTCATTAAAATTACTCACAAGTTATAAAATCTAAAAGAGACAGCAATTTAGAAAGGCCCAAGGGATCATGAAGAAAGTGACAATCTTAACCAACCACGGATTCAAATAGCGGGGCAGATTTTATGAGAGAGGTATCTATTAGATGCCAAAGCACTTAAAGGAAGTAAGGAACACCTTGAGCTTTTGTTACTGAAAACAGGGCTAGAAGGAATCCCCTGAACTACCACAGGCAGCTGAGCAAACTGTTTACAAACCCACTAATCAATTCCATCTACTACATCCTATCCTTATTGAATCATGGTACAAAAAGAAGATGGCAGTTTTTAACAGGGGGCAAGTATGCACTAAAAATACATATTTTAATGTAATATTTTAAATAATAATAATTATATATATAAATTGTAATATATTAAAATAAAGTAAGTGAAAAATTTGTTAGTTTTGAAGAGGCAGCCTACAAGCTCTACCCGACTATGCTCCATTCTGTTGTCATACTGAAAATGTAGACAGGTACTGATTTAAATTGCATGTTCGTTTGAGGAAAACATAAAACTCATTGAGTAAAACTAGTTTTCTTCGAAATTAGGGGTTTTTCTTTTAAAGCATTTATCATTATAATAGATGCTTAAATACTTCATATAGCACCCCATGTTCCCCAGAGAAGGGCCTAGTTTTGGTATGCAGTGCTGAATTCTAAGGAGAGCAGATGAACATGACCAGATTTTCCGGGTAACACATGGAAAAATCTAAACATAACAAGGAAAAAATGTGACCCAAGATAAGGCCTCACATAGTTGAAAAATATTTAACATAAGCAGAGAAAAGTACAGAGTGAAAATTGAGATGTGTATAGAGATGACAAACTGGAACCAAGCAAGATTTTTTTTTTGTCTCCTTAATGTCTGCCCACAGTAGTTTTTTTTCTTTTCAGACAATTCTTTAGTTTTTAGTTCCATACTAAAAATATAAAACAGTGTCCATAAAAGACACTATATTATCGTAAAGGATCAGCAAAATGGTGTCTGTCATTCAGAAAGTCAGTCTTGCATGTTCCTGGATCTTTTTTCATTAAGTATCTTTAGAGATAACAAAAAACTCAAGCCCAAAGCCTTTTACCACGCAACAGTGACATCTCTAACATGAAAAATGCTTTATCATATACCTGAACCACATCAGTAGTACATCTTAAAATATCAAACACTCCCGTAAAATGCAGAAGGTACAATCTTAATGGCTGTTGGTACATTTTTACACAGTGTTAAGTAAAAGAATCCACAACTAATTCCAATTTGTTTTTTCCATAAGTGCCAAATTTTATGAGTGCTTTCACACGTAAATCTGAAAAATTGGGTTTTATTACCTTGGTGCATTATGACAGATAAGCACTACCTTAAAACAATAAGGAGTGTGAAATAATCAACTTGTCTGACTTGTTATCTTGATTTTTTCCTGAACAAACATTTTTGATTGGCCAGAAATTAACTGTTCATTTAAACAACTTCTAAGTACTTTTTTTTTAATTTCTGTGATACAAGTTGTCTACTACACTCACAGATATGAGAGACAAGATATAAAAGGAACATGCACAAAGTGGACCCTTTAAATTTTTTTACTTCTGCTACAAATACAAGGCCTTGAGACACTAGGACTTCATAACACAGATCAGCATTACATAATTTTATGTAAAAAACATTGTTTAAATGAAACCCAGAGAATGACCCTCCTTTCTTGTTACGTATTCACATGGCAATATTCAAAAGCGAGATTTCTCTGTATCTGGACAACTAAATTATACTGCCATTACACCACCAAACTAGGTTTCATTGAAATAATGTTTCCCATTTTTGCCTGGACACAACAAATTAGATTTGGGGAGAGAATAATCAAGCAGTAACAGAAAAAAGATAAGTATATGATGATGAATATATATTATGTCTTCCCACAAGTGGATGAATGCAAACTGGTTTTGTAGATGTGCAACACTGCAGTGGACCAATAAAAGGAAGGGGAGATAAACAGGCATGGAGGGGAGAAATAAAGATAGATAAAAAACCTAGAATATACAATCTTTTCCCCTTAATAGTTTCAACAATTTTTTTTTCTTAGAAACATAACATCATTATTTAGCAGAAGTACTATTAGAAGTATCACTTGACTGGCTTTGTGGTAGTCCCAAATGCCCTCCTTGTTAAAAATCACATAAAAGTTGCACTGTATTTGTTTCATTCTGCCACATGCCAAGCAGATGAAGGAAATTAATGCCGAGACACAAACACTCTCATGCCACTGCTTTTCCCAGGCTTGTTCCCCCTTGGAGGCGTGAGCTCAGCACATGATTCCTTTCAGCATTCTTCCATAGCCACAAGCCACACCCAATGACCACGATTCTTCTGCACTTTAAAAAGCTGCATTTGGTCAGACACTTTCACTCTTAAGGAGGAACACAATTTTCTGGATTTGTCTATTATTAAAATCTCAAACAAAACCCCAGAGGGGTGTGAGATTTCACCTAAGCACTTCCAAGTGCCATGTGCAGAGACAAAACCTCAGTAACAGCCCCACCACATATTGAGGGGATTCTGTAATGACATGAGAGCACTCACCATTGGATAATCTCAGTAATTTGGGCCTCCCAATGGGCCACAGACTCCTTCTTATCAGCCAGGTCTCTCATCTCTTCTTCCAGCTGCCGATTATTCATACTCAGCCTCTCAAACATGGCAGTGAGCTGAATGAGAATTTAAACAATTTATTAAAAGTATAAACTGCTGTGACTCCATCTCTGTGCAGACTCAAAGACCCCCATCTTTCCCTCTCCCGCATCGTGCATCTGTTTTAAAAACTGGTAGTGCCCATCACAATAAACACCATATAACAATAAAAACCAGAATCTCTTCTCACCTATGGCCTTAGCTGTATTGAAAGGCCACTTTTAAGGACTAGAACTACATTTTTACTCTACCAAATTAATCAGTTTTCTGAGCTTCCACATACCTCTACAACTCTTAGAAGGTTTCTGCTTTGCACCATATAGGTGTGGAATGTTCTGTATAGAAAAAGCTACATTAAAAGAGCAAAGCAAAGGCATAAAAATTGTTATAGCTCAGATAAGACTGCCAAACCTCTCCCTTGTTTAGTAACCATGGAGAAAGACAGGCTTAACAGATACAAGCGGTCCTGAAGACAGTCCTGAGATTCTCCAGGTGTTTCACATTCCCCTATTTTTCATTTTACTTACTTGCAGACAGGGAAATTGAAATTAAATGCACATATTTAAGTGCAATATGTTATACCTAGCAATTAACCTCTCACATTCACACAGCTGCCATTCACACATGCACATTCTGCAAGACAAAAGCCATAGCTAACCTGAGCTGGTAATGGGAACTAAACCTTCATTATGTTAAATTATTATTCAGAAAGTCAAACTGGAATCAGAGACCAGATAGATTTTGTAGACAGGTTTTCTTAAGAGAATGAATCTCAGGTGAAAGTTTTTAGTACTGAAATATATTAACAAATCAAAATGATAAAAAAATTGCCAGTTTTAAATCTGTTTTGCTTTTTACTTCAAATATTAACAACTCCACACCCTATTTATCATTTAAATGGGTTTATAATTTAAATATGCCTACTTGTTAAATGTCATTGGACAGGAAAAATACAAAGCTAATGGTGGGGGGAAGAGAGAGCACAAAACCAATCAAAGTGATTAGGCTTTAGTGTTCTTGGACTAAGCCTACATAGGGGCTTATATATTATGAGTCATACTGGTATGAAAATATACTTAAATTTGAGCACTAACATGCAAACATGCTCACTTTGAAGAACATCGTACTTTCATCATATTTTTAGAAAATCTAATGCATTACAAAAATAATAGACAAGTTTAGCAAGACTTGGTTAATCCACAATGAACTTGAACAACCTGTCAAAATCAACAATAAAGCGACAATCCAAATGCACAAATCATAATTATTACTTGCTCAACACACTTCAATTAATATGTCTTATCATTTGTATTTTTTAAATATCTCAAAGTAACACTTAACCTCAAAAGGCAGGAGGGGCCCTGGTATTTCACAACAATTGACATGCAAATATACTCTAAGTAATCACATAATTAACTATACATTTTTATATTTGGGTCATACAATGACATAAACCTTTTTTGTCGGCTTACAGTGTTGTCTAGAATTAACCTTACCAAACTGTCAGACCATTTAATTAAATTCCCACACGTAAATGCTAATATATGCATATACGTACACCCACCTTCTCAAGTTCAGATGCATGTAGATCCTCTATTCAAATAAAATAGTAATCACCAATTTTTGTATAACATCAATTTCTGCTACCAGTTAAGAGTTAATAATAACCAATACAGCCCTATATTGTCCAATTTGTACACAGCATACAACAGTTGTAAATTCAGGACTCAACTACTCAGCACGTACCTTATCAAGTTCATTTGTAAGTTTTTTGTTTTCCTCTGTCAGCAGAAGCTTTTCTCGTTCATATTTTTGTTTGAACTCCGTTTCAAATTCCTCTCTCTCACTTTGGCTAAGAAATAAAGTAAAGGAGAATTAGAAAGTTTTCTATTCTAAAACTCACCCCATTATTCACTCAAACACAAAGAGATCAATGCAAACACATGTTGAAGCGAAGTACTACACTGATAATAGCACAGCCTCTTAAAACTAAGAACTGAATACCTAACCATCTTAGGGACTATAAGACAGTCTGCTGAATTTTAGTGTTAGACAGTATAGAATTAACAGAGCTTCACCAAGCTACTGTTTATCAATCCACTTATAGAATTTTATTCTTCAGATGAATCCTTCACACACTGAGCAGCTGTAATCCTGCAGACCAAAGTGTGTGTCGACATTCTAAAATGCTCACAGTAAATTCTCTGCTCACAGAAACATTATTTTAACTTACACATTTCTACAATTCCAAGTTTCACAGAATGACCAGCAAAAATGACCACACAGGAAACCAGAACATACAGAAGCTACACTAGAGGACCTGGAGCTGGGTCTCTGATGAGAAAAGTTTATATACGGGCTAGACTTTGGACAATTTAGAACAGCCAGAAGACAAATTCGAACTGTTAATTTAGGTACCATATACTAACTATGGGCAAAAAGGGGATGAATAGCCCATACACTCTTAATATAACCAGGATTTTACAGCAAGTATGGGCCATTCTTTCTGAGAAAGTTTCACAGCAGCTGTTTCCCCCACGTCTTCCCTTCTCCCACAGATGTCATTCAGTACAGGAGAACCTTTGCTTGAATCTGCTTAATATCAACTTTAACCTAGCACAATGAATACAAGAACTGGAAAATAAATGAAGCTGCCAGTCCCTGTTTGCCAAAAAATGTTGTAAATTCCTTCAAGTGGTGTACACAATGTTTTAGATGTGTAACTCCCACCTCGTATCTACTGATTTCAGACTCGGTACATTTGTATCTTGTACTCACCTTTTTACCAATTATTCAGGTCACTGGCACAAAGTTCACCAGTAGGTTAATGGAACTATATTACAAATGCCACAGATACAGTAAATACCCATTCAGCAACTACCACTGTCCAGCCTTAAAAGGCTTGACAAAGTGACCAGTATAAAAGGTTAACTGTAAAAATAAAATCCAGGGGAAACCTTGTCTTGAGCACTGCAATTTTTTTTCTGGATACAGATCAGAATTTTACACTGTGCAACACAGAAATCACATCCTTGCCTCTTTTTCTGAGGTGCAGAACTAACACAGTTCTACCAAATTGAGAGAACACCATTAGAGGATGAGAAATGTCAGTGGCTACAGCAAACCCAGTTAAGAGCTGTGCTGGTTTGAATTTCCTATTCCTAATTTGAAATTCATTTAGTGCTTCAACCACTCTTTGAAATCTAGTACATTATTTTAGACCCATAGTGAAATTCTATGTTGCTAGGCATCCTTTGAAACGTAATACTTCATCCTAGTAAAGTAACATACTATAGTTACTGTTTAAATGCCAAGTTTGAAATTCACCACCACTCCTTTTCTCTATCAACAGATTCCATGCATATGATGAGCAGTCTAGGGAAAAGACAGGAAGAGATTAAAGCATCGGCTGTCATGGGAATTAATAACAGGTCCTGCTTCTGTTTTCAAGGCTTAGATTCAAAGCTAATTTCTCAGGCAGAAGACCAAACTAATTTTTAATTAATTTCTTTTATTTGGCTTTCATGGTTTTGTTTAGGAATTTTAATTCTGTATTTGTCTTAAATTTATTCCTTTAAGGATCTAAGGCTGAAAGCAGCAATAAATGGTGGTGGATTAAGGAAGCTCTGGGTTGGTGAAAGAGCCCATCATATTTGTAGTTTTCTGTATCTTACTTATTGGACTTATTTCAACTGGTGATTGTCACTACCCCAGAACGTCAGACTGCTGTAGTATAATACAGAAATGAAGATAAATTTGAAACAGAGGAGAATGTGGGTATAATCTATCACATCCAAATATCAACTCAGCAAACTACAGAACTGTGACAGACTCCATAGATGTACCTTGGACAGCCAGTAAGATCAAAATAATGCATTTGCTTTGAAGCCTGGCATCCTCCTCTCTCATCAAGCTTTTACTCTCATCTAACATTTAGCTATGTATCTGCTCTTCAAGTTAAGAAATCATACATGATCCAGCTTTCTTTTTATCAGTAAAACTGCAGCAAACCACATGCAAGCAATGTGAAATACAGCTTTATTTTATCACTGTCACTCCAGCTCTTTATTGCATCTGTACGAAGTGGTGAAATATTTTATCTTACTGCTTTGAAACCAAGAAAAGTAGACCTGAAACACATACCAGCCCCCAGGCTTCTTTATATCACAATTTAAAACCAGCAAATGCTGTTTTATAAAGCTCTCTGCTTTATAAATCCATCATGAAATGATGGGCTTAAAGAAACTTTTACAAACATGATTTATTTCACACAGTTTCTTGCACCTTCTTCTGAAATATTTCATAATGACAATTCTAAGAAATGGAATCTTGTGCTGCACAGATCACTGGCCTGATACTGTGTTCCTATGCTTCCAACTTTAATAGCATGCAGTTTATGAGACTTTAGCAAAGGGTAATCACTTTGTACAGAAAGGTAGTTTCTCTTCCTTGAAGACTTATGCTGTTGAAATAGCAGGAGTTAGAGAGCTTAAATTTGAAGGAAACAAAGAAAAAATACCTATTTAAAAAAAAACAAAAACAAAACCAAAAAACCATCACCACCACCAAACACAAAAACAGAAACCACAGACATGCAAGGTACACAAAAATGCACAGACAGATTTTGTCAAAGCTCATATTGATCCTTGGTTGGAGTAACCTATGTAATTCACTCTTACATATAGTATTTACAAAGTAATACAACCACATCCTCTTACCAAAATCTTTTTTAATATACATGGAAGATTAGTTTTAGACTACTAAAATATTTTTGCCAAACTGTATAAGCACACTTCAACTCCACGCCCACTCCAAGCCTATTGTTGAAATAATTCCACTTATCTCAGCACAAATCCTCCAGGTGCTTCCTTTTCAACACTTACACTGAACACTCTATACTGGAAGACTCACAAAAAGCTTTTCATGCCTGACTACAAAAGCTAAAACACAACAGGAGTAAGCAGAAACAAAAAAACCATGGTCCTTTACAGAAAGCTACCAAACATTGAGAATCGAGTAGTAACCACAATTCTTGCATTCCTAATATTTAAGATTCCCTTCTAAATTGCAAAAGTCAAACTATACCATAACTTGAACAGTGGACTTCTGCAATTCTGTGGAGTCCTAATACTTGCATGAGATTCTGCAATTTGTTTACCAAAACACAGATTAAATCAGGCCTTCATCAATCACTCATCATGTGCTTGGACACCTGACTCAATATGATGCTGAAGCCCTTCCCACGAAGAGCCAAGTGTTAGATACTTGTTACGTGACACGTTTCTGTTCTTGCTTTCAAATGTTTTCTTACACAAACATTTGAAATACATACAAAAACACATGGTTATGTCAGCACGAACATTAGAAATGCATCCAGTTCTCTATTTATAGAGAGAAACCAGACTGACAGAAGATTTATGAACTAGCTAGCATGAAGAACATCAACATTTGGTATTTCACCAGATGGACATCTAGTTAGAATGTCTGCAGCTGTACAACATTAGAATTAGGAAAGAAGCAGTGTTTGGTCTGGTCAGTGCTTGGAGGTATGATCTTTACCAACACTTTAGCCTGCAGAAAGAAGTATTATTGATTTATTTTATTTAATATTCCTCCTCCTGAGGAATAACCCCGCTGGAGTTAAAAGTGTGTCATACTATCACCTTTCCATTTTACAAGACAGAATAGCCTTTTGTGAATTTGTAACTCATTGGTCAGCAAGACCATTAAGTTGTGTTACAATGAAAACATGCTGCTGATGCAAGTTTTACCTCTCAACCTAGAACAAAGCAGCGAACTACTGTGTTGTTACTATGTCCAGCCTACAAATAGCTGCATGCTAGGAAGAAACAGTTCATCCATCTCATTCTAGGCTGTATGATCTATGTACCCTGCTGAACCCAATTTACCAGAGAGGCAGTGTTTCTACTTCTATCTGCATTAACTTTTTTTGAAAAAATCGGTATTTCATTTGCTACTCATATTTAAGGACTTGCTACTGTTTGGCTCAGCTTGCAGGAGGAACTTCTCCATGGTTTTCTCTAATATGCCATCTTGCTGCAGCAGTAGAAAGATACATCTATGTTACCCTCTATAAAGCATTCTGAATTTTTTAGGAATGAACATGAACACATTCAGTTTATGACTATTTCCACTACTACATTATCCAACAGAAAATTTTGTTTTTATTGATGAATGCCTCGAGGAACATTCTCAAGGCCAGTTATAAGCCCCACCATGTGGGAGAGAAAAAAGCAGGTCTGACAAATTACCATGTCAGAAGAGATAAAGCGGCTTACGCCTACAGTAGTCTGCTGACTGATGTTAACACTGGATGGAACCCAGCATGGATTAGCCTCAGTTCCCATTAAGTGACTGTTCCTGTGCTGGCAGAAATGTAAACAATAGCTGATCTCTAACACATTAGTTTTGCATCAAAAGATGAAAACACCAAATAAAAGAAAAAATGTCAAAAAAACTATTTGAAAGTGCAACATAAGCTTTAGGGGTCAACCTACCCAGAGCTGCAAGTCTGTAACTCGAGTTACATACCTTGGAATGGCCAGCCAATAAAATAGTTCTGGTGCAAAATTAACTGTTTCAGTATAAGGATGTGGATTTTTTTCTTCTGTTTTATTTTTAAAGGTGACTCTTTTCAACCCTGGCATTAGCTCAGACAAAATGACTATACCTGCACTACAGTTAAGGAAGTGATAGTGTGTTTGGAAAAACATTAAGAGACTTCAAAAGATTAAAAAAATGTAAATTCCATACAGTACTCACTTTTCTCTTCTGGTTTTCTCTAACTTGTCTTTCAAAACCATGATCTCCTTCTTGAGGGCAAGCTGCTGGCTCTCTGCATCCCGCAGTTCTTTCTTCAGACTTTTTATTTCATTAGCATGCAACATTTCACGTTTAGATAGTTCCTCTTCATAGAAAACACTTTTCTTTTCCAGGTCTGCCTTTAATTTAGTGATCTCTTGCTGATGTTCTATACTGCTTACCCCAGGTGAGCGACCAACCTGTTTTTGCTAAAATAAACAGCCCCAAATTACCACTCAAGAATGTTGAAAATTATGCTTAATAACAACTCAATATTCATAAGCCTACATTTAGAAAATATTCCATTAGAGACTTGAGTTAAACACATCTATGTCAATTTTTTTCAAGATTTGTTAGAACATAACTTTGAAAGGTACTCTATTGTTTTGTTACTTAAATGCAGTAATAGTTTTCAAGCCATTCAAAATTTGATCACTTTAAACATCTCTGGTCACATTCTGACCCCCTACATGCAGTCAGAAAGTGACCACAGAATTAGAAGACACTTAAGGGTTCCACTCACACAGCTGACAGCAGCAACTTCAAGTGACTTTTCAGGACTGCAGAATAAGGACTATGATATACAGTTTATATACTCTGAAGGACAAATAATCTGTGGAAAAGCTATACTAAGACAAGAAGAGGTTTAACTGAAGGCTAAAATCTAGCTACAGAAATACTATATGGATTATATCAGTCAGGAGGGAAACCTGACCTATTTTACTTAAACTGACCATTTACTACATCATAGTGGATTAACAGGAAAAACAAGCTTTAAACAATAAGAGTAATTACTTCACTTTTCGCAGCTGCATAGCTCTCTTAGTGAGGTCTTCTGGCATTTCAATAGTCTTTACACACTGCTTCAGGATACATACACATTTGCACCAAATGCTGCACTCACTAAACTCAATGTCCTGCCATAACATAGAGGAGGAGCAAGATCAGGTTCAAAATGAGATAGTGGCATGACATGCACTGAAATCCAAGTATGGAAATAACTTTTTAATGTAAACATATGGACAACTTCGTTTGGAATTTCTTCTATTTTTTAAAATATGTAATTAAACGTAGTCTAAGGAAAGGAAAATTACTTCATAAAAACACTGTATTTTGAGAAAGTGCAGGTAACTGGAAAATGTACTTCCTTATGGTGACTGTGTCTCACCTTTAAGAGGATTGAAGATATTTTGTTAATTATACCTCCATTCTTACCATGAGATATTAAATACCTCTCAGTCACCCTAAATTGGACATGGCTTTGGGTAATTATCATTTGCTGATGTATGAACAGGCTTTAAGAGCTAAATGTCATTGCAGAACATTCCGATGAGCTGAATTTCTACCATGACAAACTCTATGAGAAAGCTGGGCCTTGCTGTTGGTGTCAGCAAAAAACTGCAAAGCCCCCTAAATGTATGAGCCAGAGATGTGCCGCTACTGAATTGTTTTCTCTAACTCATCAAAACAACCATCTGTTTTGATCTAAGAGTAAAGTCCTGCCTTTAGGAGGATGCAGAATGGTAAACTGGAGAAAGAAGATACCAACCTAACAGAAGACAGCTGGCAGAAAGAAAGATTTAAAAAAAAAAAAAAAAAAAGAAGAAGACAAGCAAGCAAGCATAGGAATTTTCTTTCCTGCACAGGCTGTTAACTACTGAACTTGCCTGTTACTGCCCAACACACCCAACTGCCTACACATACATGGCAATGGAGCTTAAGCTTTGCAACATCAACTAACAGGTACATAAAATGTTTTAGTGGTATTGTACATTTTTTTACCACAAGGAAAAGATACTATTAAGACAATAAGACAGATGGTGCAGCAGAAGAGAAAGCTGAACTGTATTTAACAGTGGTTTAACTAGAGAGAGATAGTACTAAACAGAGAATATATTTTGGATTGATGTAAGCACAAACTCCACATAGGTGTTTTCATACATGCCCATTTCAAGTGGACAAATGGTGCAACTGAGACATAATTCATCTCCTGGTATATAGACAGTAGCTCTTTAATGTACCCCGGGGTGCATTTTTGCACCCTTTTGGTTGCCAGGGCACACTGGGGACTCATATCGAGCCTGATTTTATTGAAAATCCAGATACATGACATCCACAGGATCTCCTTTGTCCAGACATTTACTGACAACTTTGCAGAACCACAGCAGGTCAGTGTTGCAGGACTTGGTTGGCCAGAGGGCACACTGTCTTCTTCCCAGTAGGCTCTGCTTCATTCAGGAGCTCTCTGACCTTATTCTTTACCACAGACTCTGCAACTTTCCTAAGGAAGTTGCACCCAGTCCTCTTTTTTCCCCAGGATCATCTGGATGAGAGTTACAGTAGCACAGTGGGCCACCTGTAATAACAGGGTGCATATCCTGGCCAGCAGTTTTCTTACTTCTCATTTAAGTTCCTCCAGAACTCCCCCAGCGAGGCCATTGGTCCAGGTGACTTCACATCTGCCTCACCTGCCAGCTCCACTGCTTCCTGCACGTCATCCTCAGGCTGATCCAGCTCATCTGCTGCCAAGAGTGGACTCTTTGTGGCAATCTCCCCTGCTTCAGCAGTAAAGTCTGACACATCAAACACTTGTGGAGAGTTTCTGCCACATCCCTATTAACTAAGAGTTTGCCTTTTTCACCCTGCCAACAAGCAGCCCCCCGAGTTTCCTAAGGTGCTTTCTGCTTTTGCTTCAAAGAACTTCCCACTATCACTCTGAGCACCCTTTGCCAAGTGCTTCCTAAATTCTCTTTATTTAGCCCTCAACATCCTGTTTACCCTTAACCTGCCATCATTAAGGGTCTTTTCGATTCTCCTCATTTGGAGAAATCTTCCTTTCTTCTGTAAATATTGACTTCTGTCTAGGAGAGCTCCCTGAACTTAACTAAGGAGCCATGCAGAGCTTTTACTGAATGGACAATGCAGTATCACAACAACCACATGTGATCCAAAGCGTGCCTACTGAATCGTAAAATACTACTAAGCATGCTACAGTTCCCCTTTCCTCTTCTGACAAACTCACTCTGTTGTTATAAATCAGTGTATCATTTATCTCCCATAAATTCTTCTCACCTCTTAAACTGTCATACAAACTCTTTGCTGGTGGTTATGATTCATGGAAGTAGAAGAAATTCATCCTAATTTTCAGATAACAATCTGAATTCATAGCAGTAGAAACTTTATAAATCCAAATTTCAAGTTGAATGGATCTCCTTATCAAAGGAAGGCCAAATAAAAGAATATTTGCAAAAGAACAACAAATTTTCTGTGCTGTTAATGTTGACAAATGTCCCAGAGAATTCTAATGAAAAGAAAACTCCACTGTTCCTGTAAATTAAGACCAGAATAGGCCTAATCTTGCATTTTGCAGGAGACGTGTAGAATTACCCTACTCAATGGAACATTTGGAAAAGGATTTTACTGTAAATGAACAGCAATCCTCATATGTAAATTAAAAACCTTCTCATTCAATTTTTGAGAGAGTCTAATTTCTTCAGAGCATCGTATAAAATGCTGAATCACAGAATAAAATAACAGTTAACACTCTTGGCTGCCTTAGGTGTCTGCTTGTAAAATCACATACACGTGTGAGCAATCTCATCTGTGTAAATGACCTGTTCATGCTCAGTGCTGGTCTTGTGCAAAAACACCTCAACTTCTGGCTGAGAGGTGGAACAAGCTAAAACTTTTCCTTTACAGTTACATCAGTTGACATCTATTAGGCAGGAAACACAAGGAACAACACAGCAGACCTACACAGAACACCTACACAGAAACCTGCCTAGGTGCAGCAGGTTTATCATCAAATGTTCAGCCATCCTGTGCTAAAAAATAAGCTTTTAACAGGTAAAATTAAACAAAGTACTAATGGAAGCAATTTGGTAAGAAATTGTCGAGTATTAGAAATAATGCATCAGGCAAACGTTCATTTTTCTGGACAATAATGTGATGCGCGCCTGCTTTAATGTTCAGCACCAACTGAAGCGACAAACTGACAAAACCCTTTTGTCCTACATCTGAAAGCAATCAAACAGATCCAAGTCCTAGTTGACTAGTAAGTTTGCAGGTGTTAATATCAAAACAGACTAACCTTTAGCCCTTCTACTTCGCTTTCCAACTGTTTAGAGTACTGTTCACTCCTCTCTCGCAATTTCCTGTCTTTGGATGCCTCAGCAGCTGCAGCTTCAGCTTGGACTTCCAGCTACAAAAGTACATACGTTTTTAATAGATAGGATTCTTTTTTTTTTTCCAAAATTTTTAATATAAGAGAGAAATCTTCATCACTCAACTGCACACTTCAAATTCTTAGAAAACAAAACTGGTACTGTTTGAAACAACAATCAAAAAGTTAAAGATTTACAAATTAGAAAAAAGAAATTACTTTGTCAGAAAACCTTACATGTAACTTATTTCACAGAGTCTAAACAGTCTTCTCACCACTTACTTCTTTTTTAAGTCTCTCTGTTCTGCGTAACTCTTGCCTTAAACTTTCTACTTTTTGCATCACCACTTCCATTTCTTCCTCCTTATCTCGGAGCTGGCGGGCAAGCTTTTGTTTTTGAGAGTGCAAGTCTGTCAGCCGCTCGTTCATCTCTGAGAACTCCTGCATTGCCAATTTCCGCTGGCTGTGTGCATCTTTCAGCTCTTTGGCTTGGGATTTTAATCTGTCACTAGACTCTGCCAGTTCCTACAGTTTAAAAAAAGAATTAAATAATAAACCTAGAAAGCTGCAAGGCCACTTCTGTCTCTGGATGCACATCTAACACCTTCTCCAGAGTGAACAGAAACCATATATTAATTTCTTTTCATGAATGCATCTATGATACAGATTGTATGTCTCTATAAATAAGGGAAGAGGCCAGGTTTTACACTACTAAAGTTAGTAAAAGTGCATAAACGTAAACCAAGTAGGAATTTACTCCATTATAACAGGTTAAACACAATGGTTTTCAAGTACTTGCATTATAACAAAAATATCTTGTCTTCTTAGTGTAAAAAATTTCATTAGCATAGATTTTCAAGAACTACTTAAATAAATAAAAAGAATCTCAACTGCTAAATGATTAAAAAATACTTTTTGCATTGAGTGGAAAAGTCTGCTCTATGAAAATTTTCACTCTAGAAGCTTTTGAAAACTGACCTGAAATGGTGAGCATGATTACCATACACTGTACCTTAGTATCAAATATTACAGAAAGTTTCAGGCAACAAAATGCTGTAGTGAGTAACAGCAATATATGACAATTATCCTTTTAAAAGAACCTACATGAAGTAATACTGCTAGTACTGTGATAACTCCACAGCACAACACTTCCACAAAACTTGCTGTGCCCTGGACTTCTGCTACTACACTACCAATGAGGGACCACAACAGTTTAATAGTTTAATGATGTGCAGCCAAATCGGAGCAGAACAAAGATGTAAGGAAAAGTAAATTTGAGGATGAAAAGAAGATCAACAGGAAGAATTAGTATCTGGCACTGTTGACATCTATATAAATCTAAAAACATTTCTAAGGTTGTTAAAAAGAGCTCCTAATGACTTCAAATTGTTTTAGAAGAGAGATGGTATTTCTTGGACAAGCTGGCAGCTTTCAAGATTTTAAGAGCTTTAAGGGTCAAAAGAAACAGTGTTAAACACAGCTGGCACATCAACATTGAGTGTGGACTCTAAAATACTGGGCCAATATAATCATGATGAGAAACAGGTTAATGTATTTCACACCTGATTACAGGTTGATCTAATCATGAATACAAAAAAGAGCCATGAAAGACAGTATGTTATAAATCAGAAAATGAGGAACTGGGGAGACAGAGGAGAAGAAATAAAATCCAGTATTCTTTAATTGTAGCTATTTCAAATTACTTTTCAATCTTCATATTTGGGCAATTTTTCACATCTCCCTTCTGGAAACACTTCTGTGACACAGCCTCAATACCATATTCTTCACATTTTTTCCCCAACTAACATCTCACCCATACTTCAGATTAAATTAGTTGTCTGGAATAGTTCTTCTTTACTCTGTCTTCTAACCCCTATCATTATCACCTTAATCTGAAGCTATAAAACCTGTTTTGCAGCCACCATGTAATCTGGATCATGGAGTTGTTCACTGTCTGGAAGCAATCACCTAGGACCACCCAGCAGTCATACATACAACATGTTAAATAATGTCCTTGTCTTAAAGAAAAAAAAAAAAAAAGGGCAGGCAGAAAGAAAAGTAGGTCATGCTACACATTTGTTATTTGCTCATTAGTTTTACACTTGGAAGTTATTTCAAGCAAAATGAACAAAAATAAAACAGACTTCAGTGTTTAGAAGAGTTGCTGACAAAATGCTTTTACCTTATTAAGATCTTCCCTCTCTTGCTTTAGTGTTCTGACTTGTTTCTCAAAAGCCTTTATTTGTCTGGAAGCATCATCCAACTCCCGCCTTGCAGTGCTGGCCTCCTCAAGTTGCTGTTCTAGCTGACCAGATTCTAGAAAAAGCAGCAGAATTCTAAATATTCTAAGGGAAAAAAATCATAATTCTAGAATAGCATAGTCTAGCTGTTTGAAGTCCCTTCAATACTTTCTCTTGTTTCCATTTAATCAAAATTTAATGCAGTTCTTATCTGGTTTAGAATAGGGAGCAGGTTGATTCAGCTGCCATTATCTGCTTTGAAGGGAACAGAATGAAATGTTTTGCTTGCTGCAAAACAACACAGAAAATGATAACTTTTATTCTCACATTATAATAATGATGCCTTCTTACTTAATTCTGTAATGTATGTTTTACCATAACTTACACATTTGACTTTTATGCACTGTGTTATAATATATAATGCATCTTTTATTACACTGTAATTATAAACAGTCTCCCTCCTTCCCCGAAGCTCCCCCAGAAAGAAACAGTAAAAGTAATGGGTCACTCAAGAGCTGGCAAGTGTTCTCCTGTCAATACACTTAAAATTAACTTCAGCTGATATTACTTATTTCTAGTGTGAAAACCACTTGTGTTTACGTGATCTGCTTTATTGCTACTATAAATAAAGGAAAACTATTATAGTCAGCTTCTTACCCAACAGTCAGTTACACAATGACAGTATATTTCCATGCCACACCTAAATAATGTCATATAAATGCTATCAAATGCTACAAGAAAAGTGGAAATCCATAAAATATGACAACTGAAAATTTCTAGCAAAGGTGTTTTTTTACCTCCTAGTCCTTCACTTAAAGCAAGATATATATGAAGGTAAGTTAATTCCAAATTCCGTGAAATGACTGGACATTTAGCATTTTATTTCAGTTGTGGCAGGTCTTCAGACCATTTGAATTTACCAAAAGAACAGGAACCCATCTATACTCTTAATAAGAGCCTTTAACTATATTTTCATAAATGTAACCCTAAGAGAATGGTTCTTGGAAAAATCAAATATAAAAATACATACATTTTTAAGAAGGTTAATTTCTGAAACACAAGAATTTTATAAGCAAATTAATACCCTTAGCTTACACCCATAAAAATGTTCACTATTGTTTTAATTCACTCTTGTTTAAAAATTTAAAAGAATGCACTTAAATAAGAGATGTAGCTCAAAGCCAAAAATTATTAACTGCCTCTCTTATGTAGTCTACTCTGAAGTCACCAGTGAAAAGAAAGTTTATATATGGCTCTGCTGAGCCAAGATAAATCTCTCTTCTGTGCATGAACTACTTTGTTCCACAGCTCTGTTTTCTTCTTCCATTGCTGCCCTTTACATATTTGGCAATATTAAAGATTCCTCAAAGTTTTCTCCTATGCAACCTAGCGAACAAAAATTATAACTCTGACCTCTAAAATTGAAAGCATATGCTAGTTTGTCATTTCCTGGAAAACTCGATAGACAAGAAAAATGTATTTTTCTAAGCCCCCTCCAGTGACACTCCTGAAGACACAATTTCAAGTTCATTTTTATTACCTTTTTAAGCAGGTGTTTACTACTACAGCTTCAGAAGAGGCAGCAAAGCAGGTTAAAGAATACAACCAAAAGCCGGTTGTGACATATGCGTAGTAAGTGGTAATTTTCCATCTAATCACTCTAATCACCCTACTTGTAACTAGCATTTTAGATAATATATGCAAACACTCACTGCAGTATGCTATCACATTTAGTTGCCCTAGCGATGAGCCCAAAGCACAATGTTCACCTCTGCACCTGAACTGAACCTTCCTAAAGTTCATCAGATCTAGTGCTGAAAAATTAGATCTTTTAAATGCTATTCAGAAAATCTGGAACTAGCTCCCCTATGTTTGGAAGCACTCAGACATGGCCATCATTTGGTTTGTTTCTGTATTCTGTCATTAATTTAGTTTTAAAATCTATCTCAAAACCCCCATAAAATCAAGTAAAATAGAACATTCTCTTTTCCCTGTTTTATCAAATTGCCTTGTAATAGTTACAGCACACGGCACAAATGGATGTTTTCTAACAAATGCCTGTGTTGTCTGGATCGGACGAACACTCAAATGTATACAGGGAAAGTTCTGTGGTGACTGGGGATAGATTGGACAACTCTACACCTTCCTCATTTGATCACATTATTCACTTCCAACCCCAAATACCAAAAGCACACATTGTATTGAGGAATAAATATGCAATTATATGCTTTGAAGTAGAAAATTACTTTAGAGAAAACCTCAATATAAACCACCTTCACCAGACATTGACTTCTTTTCAATTTGAAGAGGGATAGGAGCTCTGTTGGGGAACGTTCCAGATTGTTGCAGAGCAGGGGTTTCCGATGTTGTCGTTTTCCTCATTACAGCAGCAAGTGCAGAGACACTTGGCTGGAGACAAATTTCACTAACAAAACTTTGCCCTGACATAGTGCCAACATGGCGTCACTCAAACCAGAGTGATCCTCCCTGAGCTAGTTAAGCCATGCTCACATCCAAAAATAATGCTTATGGTACAATACGAAACTGCTGCATCATGCCAGAGCAGCTGTCCAACTGTGTATCCATAACAGGCTTTTTTCAGACTACACAATTTTAACAGGACATAATCTATGTGCTGCAGTCTGCAGTTCATATATAGCGTGTTTCTGTCCCATAACGCAGCTGCAGAGTCTAAACACATCAACTAAAATGTCTGGAAGTTAAGCTCAAGTTATTCTTTCTGTGGGTGTCACTGCTGGCATTCCAGACACTTTCAGGAACTGAATGAAGTCTTTTCACAAACACAATCCAGAACAAATCTTTTTTGTAGTTTCCTCCAGCCTTTCTCACTGTTCTGTTTTCCCTTGCCTCAGGTAAGACATGGACATACAATAGAGATCTATCTACTGCTACTTGTGTCTGATTTTTCCTCACACAAAATGTAGACATTTTCCTATTTGGATTGACATGATTAATTGGATTTTTTCCCCTGTTTCTGTGGTTCCAGACCTGATACCTAACAGTCTCTTGTTGTTGATTTTCCTACAGTAAAAAACATCTTGCTATACTTCCTTTATTTCTTTTTTGAAGATGTCTCTGCTCTCAAGAACCTATTTTAAAGAAAGTGTTAGGGAGCAGGATACCATGAGTCCTATGTTATGAATCACTCTGAGAAAAAATTCTTTTTAACTTAATTCAGAGCATTACATCAAGAATACTGAATACTAGTACTAGTAGTTAGCCTTTAAAGTACACTAAAAAGATACTAGCTAAACAGACAACAAATTGTTTCACTAACAGCTATATACAATATGGTGGTGCAATATAAGCTCTCCCTCTGAAAGTTCTTAAAACATGAATTGCCAGTTTTTGGGAGGGTAAGGCTGGAAAAAGAATGATCTCTCGCTAAATGTCTCAAGTAGCCTCTATAAATAAACACAGGACACTGGCCTAAGTAGATCTTTGGTTTTCAACTAGCTTGGGAGTTCTGAAAAAAGGTAGTCCAACATTAATTACAGAATTGAATCTTTTTATCTACACAGATTTAAGAAAAACACTTTTCAAGCTTAAAGTACTGTGATGCTTGATAGCCAAAATTTTAGTTTTCAGAAAATCTTCACGAATTCCCAGAAGCAAAGGAAATAAATGTTCAGTTTTGTAAGGAATGACACCTCACTGACAGCAGAGCTGAGAGGTGGTTCTTCTCCCTGTCATCTCTCTTTCCTCTTATGCTTCTATTGCCTACCTTGCACTGATTAATTTGATCATAAGTTGATCAAATTCCATCTAGATAGCATTTTCCTTGTTTAATTGAGTGAATTAAAGCCATGAGAGTCCAGGACAGGCACAGATTGAGAAGGGGTCACACAGCTGTGAGTAGGACCCATTCTGGTGGCAGTTTTGTTTGGATGGGTTCTGGTGCTACTGGAAGTGCAGTCTCATAGCCCAGTGTCCTCTCTCATGGAAAACATCCTTCACTGCTCCCTGCCACTTGGAAAACTCAGTATCACTGTAGTTTCATGCATACAGCCCACCTTCCAGATAACCCACACTTTTCTAAATGTACTGTTTCAAGAAAATACTCACAAAATCCCACCCTCAGTGTAAACTAGCTCTTACTTCACATTCAGTTACAATGCACTAAGCAACTGCACACTGTAATTCTGTGAATTTGAAGAAAATATCATCAAAACTGTGACCACATCTCATAAATCTGGACCTTTCAGGGAAAATTCAACAGAAAATGAGATAATGAGAAATATCAATTAATGCTTGAATCATAACGGAGCCGGAGAGAGACTTTTTACAAGTGCATGAAGTGACAGAACAAGGTGTAATGGCTTCAAATTGAAAGAGGGAAGATTTAAATTAGACATTAGGAAGGAATTCTTCACTATGAGGGTGGTGTGGCACTTGCATAGCTTGCCCACAGAAGTTGTGGATGTCCTGGAAGTCTCCAAGGCCAGGGTGGATGGGGTTTTGAGCAATCTAGTGTAGCAGAAGGTGTCCCTGCCCATGGCAGGAGGACTGGAACGAGATGGCCTTTAAGGCCCCTTCCAACCTAAACCATTCTATGATTCCATCAACCATTTTCAGGCCTACTAAAACTGACAGGTCAAGTGTTCACCCTTATGTTTATTCACTGTCAAAAATAACCAAACAAGTGTTCCATCTGCTCTGGTACCACACATTGCAGGAGGAAGGTGTAAAAAAACAAAAAGAAAAAGTACTACAGAGACCGGTCAGATTCTCAGGTAGACTCTGATTTACATCCATGTAAATTAGCAACACCAAAGTTTAAAAGTAGTGGAACTTTTGCACTAATAATAATAGCAGAAGTCATCGAAATCTTCCTACTCCCTTGCAACTGGAACTAATGAATATCAAGCTGAATTTGTAGAAAATGTTGAGCTACCAAGGAAGAGTGAAGAGTAAAATGAAAAGTAAGAATAGACTGGAAAACTATTTTAGAAAGCAAAATAAAACTAGCATTACATTAGGAAAAAAAAAAAACTTGCCAAAATGCTGTTTTAAGTTACAGTTTTTACATTAATATTTATAACATACCTGTTACCTGTTTCTTCAACTTTTCAATTTCTTCTTTCAAACTTTTAATTTCTAAATCTTTGCTTGCTGTTATTGGGCCATCCACTGTTGAATATTGCAGAGCCTGGACTGTCTGAGTGGACTCTAGAAGAAAGATGGAAGAGAGAGGGACAAATTACACATCTGACATCTGAGGAGGTCAAGATATTACTGATAAATTAAGACATGCCAAAAAAACCCTGCACTGAGGATTCCACAATTTATAACTTCCAACTATTAAGTGACAATTTTTCAGCGATTGTCAGCTGGACAAAAAAAGTTCTTATAAGTTTTAAGAATGAAATGCCATAGTAACCAAAGCACGATGAGAACAAAGTTAGAATGTCGTAAGAAGTTGCATACATGGCATATTTCAGGCATGAAGAGTAACAGAAGCTTAATTTGTCAACAAAAATAATGATGACAATTCTTTTCTGCTAGAAAGCATTCCAGGAGGTATACTTATTTTTTGCTACAGTATAAACAGCCATGCTGTTTACGTTGCAACATAAAGCTGCAAGTAGAAAAAAATTGGATTTTTTTTTTTAATGACTATACCTTGCAGTTTTCTACTAAGTTCAAGCTTTTCCTGCTCTAGACGTCTTATTCTCCTCTCGTAAGCTTCTGTTGCTAAACTATCCTCCAAAGTTCTTTGAATGCTGGCATCAAGATCCATGGAGGGTGGTCCAGCTGTCAGTCTTAGACAGCTGCGGTCCGAAAGCACACTGGGGAAAAAAAACAAATAGTACTGGACTTTACAACAGGCTGTGTTTAAAATAATGCTATAAAGCTATCAACCAGTAAACAGGTTTTTAAATTCGTTAATTACTATGCCCTTTATTATATCATCAAAAAAAACCTTGTAAGTATGTGCTCATTAAAAACTGAACTCATTTTTACCTAGCATGCCTCATGCCCTCAATGTATTTTTTGTTCCATAACAGGGAATAAACTCCTGACTAAAAATAATCCTTATGGAGAGACTGTGTTAGCCACACAGAAAAAAGCAATAACCTAAACAGTAAGATTACAATAATGGTTCATTTCAAAATAGTAAATGTAGTATCCCAAATTCTTTAAAGACAACAATCACAACAAATGGTGCGAAATTATCCCATGACAACTAGGGCATGGACATGTCAGAAATGCTGTGGCTACTCATGCACACATGCTACTACTTATGCAAATAACTCTTTGGAAGTCTAGGACATTCTAGGACATAGTCACATTCACAGTAGAAACACAGGCCTGATTTTTCAGTGGTTGTAAACATTCTTTCTTTATTTATTTCCATAAATGAACAAGAAGCATACAAAGACTTCCCTTTTAGTGTTAATTTAGCAATGGAAATTAACATAATAAATACCACATTAATACCAAATATCAATAAAAGTAATTTTTTTAAAATTTCCGTTCAAACTTACGAAAGTGTCAAAAGACTGGAAATAAACCTGTTTTTCACATCAACAATAATAAACTAAGTTTTATCTGCATCCACACATCAAGTCTTAAGTTTGTCATACACAGTTAACTTCACACATTGTGTGGTAACCACCTTTCTCAACAAAATTCCCTTGAAAAGAGGTGCTGACCTTTACATTCCTGTAAATTCTACCTGCAGAGAGCTCATTCTTCTGGACAGACAGCAACGTAGATCATGGCCTAGTAATTTCCTCAATAAACCACATTCTTTGCTGTCTCCTTGCAGTTGGCTTCAGATACAGAAACTCAAGATATTGTGTAACTAACCAAGAGACAATATCTGAACTCTTAACTTACCAGCTACTTGTATATGTGAAACCCACAAATGGTAAATGATGGCCAGAAAATGCAGTGTGCGATGGTGGAGGCATTGTTTCCTAGAAAAATAACAGGACAGTTGAGTAAGTAGTATCCACTGGACTTAAAGAGATTTTCAAGTTTAACCATAAGTGAAGTCTTAGTGGTAATATCATATTAACTATATTCACTGTCTTCCTTATCTACAGTCAAAATATGAAACATGATCAACTAAAAATATTTCTAATAGCATTTAAGATATTAAATAGACAAGGCTGGCATCAAAATGCTTTTCTAATTAAATAGGTTATTGTTGGAGGAAAGCAGATTACATATATTAAATACCAATTTATTCTTTCTTTTTTCCCAAGAAGCTCTTAGTACAAGGAGTAACACATTTTATTCCCTCCTATACTCCTCTCTGCTATTCAGTCAACACAGCTTCCTGCCTGTGGAATTACCAACACTAGTTCTGAGTGGGCTGTCTCTGTTTGGAGAGAACAACAGTCAGGCATTTACTAGAAAGACTCAGTACAACGGGGTATTCTAGTCTAATTAGTGCTTTGACCATTTCTTCATTTGTTGCTCCTTTTCCTGCCAAAGAACTACAAACCAAGACAAATCTTTGAATTTCTCCTCAGGCTAAAATAACCCTGTCATTATTTTACTTGAACCATTATAAAGTTTTAATATTTTTAAATATTCTGTTAAAAGCTTCCTGTTTAACCCTAAGATGCAAGGTTTATGCTGCTACACTAGAGATGGCCTTAACAAGCATCAAAAGAAATTCCCTATGATTACTCACACTGAAAGTATTAAAAGATTCTAAATTGCAAAAAAAAGTACATAACCTTTTTTTTTTAAACCCAAACAAAAAACAAGAAAGGGACCAGTTGTAGATTTTTCAATGCAAAACCCATCAGGAAAGGACAAGGAATAAGACTTTAGTCAGATGAAATCCAAAATTACCTTTCCAGTGCTGGCGTCAACTACATTACATCACAACCTTGCTCTTTTAGCTGACAAAAATCTTCACATTATAAGAGGGTTCCCAAAACAAAAAACAAACTAGTGATATGGCTAGATTGTGCAAGTACATTAAGTCTACACTGTTAAGCATTTTGGAAAATAAGGACAAGACCAAATTACAAAGCATTAACTTTCCACTAATTCCTAATAAAAATATCAATTACTACAGATGGTGGTTAAAAAAAGTAAGATTTTACTTCTCTTTTATAATTTGTTTTCACCTTTCATAGATTCAAGTGTCAAAGCTGTCTTTACAGGTAACTTTAAAAATACCAGATGCATAATTGTTTGAGATTTTTAACAGTGCCCATAACAGTTTTCAGTTACCACACCAGGAACTATGTTGCTTCTAAAACACTGTATCTGTTGATAACATCATAAGATTCTGTAAAAGAATTCGTTTCTTTGACAGAGATCATGGTATGTATCTCCTGCTACTTGTGGGAATTTAACTGTATAAGCATGCTGACAAAATTATAAATGAATTTAAGTTTACCACCCTTCTCAGTAAGGTTACCAATCCAAACAGTTAAAAGCTGAAATCCAGCACAACTGAGGCTGCCTGAACAATGCAGTTTAGCCCTTGGTGCTTATGCGTACTTTAAACATATTTTTTGAATTTCATTATTACGTATATAATTTTTCCATGGGACAACAGTCTCACTTAAAGTTCAGGAAGAACAATACAAATCATGGCTTTTCAACACTGTCTTTTATCTTCAGCACTGGGCATTCCTGATTTGCTCTATGCAACTCAAATCTTGCCAAGAATTAAAAAAAAAAAGTCTCATGGGCTTATCTCTGGTGCTGACTTCTATAACAGTAATGCAAGTATGTGAAACTTCCTCAAAGGATATATATGAAATATGGAGGAGAAAATACCTCCAAGTTATATATAAGGAATTTGAGGGAAAGCAATATGAAATACAATGCCCACCAGTCAAAGCAAAAATCTAAAATATTCTCAGTCATGCAATGCCTTAGGCTAAGTTTTTTCAGTGGTTCTGAGATACTAGGTGTGAAAAGAAATGGTAAGAACATAACATCCTTATATTAAAACAGAACAAAACCTTCAGATGTTTCAAATTAGGAAACTGAAAATGAAGCTCAAGAAACAGGCATTCATCTCTAACAGTTCAGTGGCATTGCTTTTCACTCCCAAATGTCTAATGCAAATTAAGAATTGGACTCAGTTTTCTCGGCTGAGAGTTCAGTAACTCAGCAGAGGAAGATTCTTCACCTGCAGTTCCCTGCTTCTTCACAATGGTAAGGTATTTCCCCAGCACAGGCACATTTTGAGTCCCTCAGCTGGGATACTGGGCTCTCAAAAGGAAGAGCAGTGGACTGGACAACACTAAAATGTGTGGACAGCCCCCAAAAGGTATTTTAGATTCATAAACAAAGACGTGCTATATACAGCATCCACTCCAGCCACTCAATCCTCATAGCTGTTCCTGGACAAATAATATGCAAATAATATGCAAAGAGATATCTGAAGACTGTATAAGAAAGTTTTAAGACAAAAATACTTCAGTTGTGAAGGGAGATGGGTAATATCAAATGCAGGTGAGAAAAAAATGAGGAAAAAAAAAAAGAAAAAATGCAAGTCATCCTATGCAGTTACACTGTTTTGCTTAATTTGCCTACAGGAAAGGGTTCTAGGATATAATCACAGATTGTAGAATATGTTACGTTGGAAAAGACCTTCAAGATCATTGTGTCCAACCATTAACCCAGCACTTCCAGGTCCATGTCTTTTAAATACCTCCAGGGATAGCTGACTCCACCACTTGCCTGGGCAACCCTTTTGGAAAAGAAATTTTTCCCAATATCCAATCTAAACCTCCCCTGGTGCAACTTGAGGCTTGTCCTGTGGCTTCTTAGAGGCTGACATCTTAGAAGAAGAGGCTGACATCCACAAAGTATTTTAGTTAAAGTGCTTTCCATGTTTTAATGTGCAATTGGAGGAAAGAGAATGCAAATAATGATCATCCTATCATATCAATATCAATTCATGTTGCCTATCTCTTATCTGCAGGCCCAGGAAACAGTTCAGAAAATAAAAGCAAAACCAGTGAAAATGCTTCACCTCACATGTAAACACCAGGTTTCTGCATCTTTCAACACACACATACACAACACAAAAGATATTTCCAAGGAGAGAACACTGATTTCTCTGATGGTAAGACCTTTATGATATGTCAAAGCTCCTTTTCAAAAGCACAGAAACAATAAGAACTATTAAAAACCAGTAGTTGCAGAGCTTTTTCAGCAAAGGTAAAAACAATTCCTTGTTCCTTAAGAAATGGCCACAATATTTCTCCTAAATTTCCCAAAACTCAAGGTAGAAAAAAAAAGCTGGAAAAATTTGAATGGAAACAAACTGAGTGGAATCTAACAGCAATATGAGCAAATAAGAGTACAGCACTACTATAAAATGCAAATTTAGTATAAGTCTTAACAATGCTCTGCTAGAAATACTGTTTCTTGCAGACTATCTACATGTAAATATATTATTCTGTATAAGGCATGGCCACTAAGAACTTGTTCATTAAAGACATGTAAAGTTGCAATGCATTTACAAAACTGAATTTCTCCTTACATGAGTATGTTTGGAGGATCAGCCTCCAAACTATGAAAGTATTCCCCCCACAGTTCTTCAAAGAAGCACTTAATTGTTATTTATGCAGAACACAGTGAACACACTGAAAGAAAATGCATTTACACATATTATGTTACAAAGTATACTATAAAAGCTGATTCATCAAAATGTTAATTCCATACTTACAGAATTTTTTAAGCAATCATCATCCACATCAAAGTTTGATGTATCAGTAGGGCTGCTGACTTCTGGGATGTAAGGTGCCTCACAGTTTCTAATGTTGTCCCAATCAATCCCAGCAAAAAATGGATGGTTCTTAAAGTCTTCTATACCATTTTGTCCAAGTCGATGCTCTCTGCTACAAATGAGCCTTCGGATGAGGTCCTTTGCACTTTCAGAGACATCTGTCACTTGAGCAGGAAACTGAAACCTCTCCTTAAAGATCAAAACAATAGAAAATAGTTTATTACCAAGAAAAAGTTGGAAAAATTACCCTTCTTAGTGCAAATCATTATGTAGAAAAAGAAATGTGTAAATGCTCCAGTTCTGAAATATATGCAGTAAGGTTTCAAAGAAAAGTCTCCTGCTAGGAATAGAAACTACTGATATTTCTTTTTGTCTCCTGGTTTTTCTTCTTTATTTAAATTTCTCTTACACTGTTGAATTCTAAAGCTTCCTCCATGTGGAAGAACATTTAGGAATCTTCTGCATAAGCCAACCAATGCATTCACCAGAAGAAAGTAACACAACAGGACTGATGCAACGTAGCCAAGACTTACTCCAGAGAATGAATTAACAGCCATGTTTCCCAACCCAGATTTTTAGTTTTGAACTGCTTTATCCCAAACCAAAGCCATCTGCAAACCATAACCATAAACTTACTGCATGGAAACATATTTTTTGTTCTACATTTATGCACATTAACATAATTAGTACATAAAAATTTATTTTTAAAAAAGTCCTCAAATTACCCCATTACTTATTTAAAATTAGCTTAGAGACAGACAGAAAGTGCACTAACTTTGTGGTTCATTATTTTCCCATAGGTCTCCACCAAGGACTCAGCATAAAAGGGCGTTTCTCCATAAAGCATTTCATACATGCAAACGCCCAGGGACCACCAGTCACATTCGGGCCCATACTTCCCTTTTCCATCTTCCATGGCCTGCAAGATTTCTGGAGAGATGTAGTCTGGTGTTCCAACTGCCACTGAAGATTGGACCTGTAGAAGTTACATTTTTTAGGACTAAAATCAACTTTTCCATTGTTATAGACACTGTTGTTTGTGGCACTGTGCCTGTATATATAAATCTAGCCCAGTGTTCTGGTTATAAGAAAAAAAACTAAACACAAAGAAAGGCTTCTAAATTCATAGAAAAATACTTAAGCATCTGAGGCACTACATTAATAGACATCCCAATAATATACATTTGCTAAACTATTTCCAATATTTAAAAACAGAGAAAGTACAAAACTGTCAATTCTTAGGCTTACAGCCAGTAAGCAATTATAGATTAGATAGCCACATCTATTAACTCAAATACTTTGTAACCCTCTGGGACATGATTAACATACTGGAATTACATTCTAGTCACAGTTACTATATACTGTGCAAATTTAAATGTACTAGTAGAACATCGTCATATTTCAGTACCTCATCCTGCTCATCCTAAAGCTCAGAGCCTAAAACATCGAGATTTATAGTTCCCAAACACCTACTCAGTATTGACAGCACAGCTTCTCTTTATTTATTCATGAGTTGACTATATGCATCTAAAAAGCTTTTAATATATTGCAAATCCATGCAGCGTGCAGTCCTATTTTCAACCAAGATTAGTTATATGCCAATACCATTTACAGTTCCATTTCATTTGACATAAGGCACCTTTCCCTTTATTAGCATGCATTTTAGCAGCTAACAAAGGACTGAAGAAAAGGTATTTAGGAAGGCATCATTCTTTCTAATTTACCGTTCCATCTTCCATCAGTTTCAGACAAGAACCAAAATCTGCTAATCGAATATGTCCATTCATATCCATCAAGATGTTGTCTGGTTTAATATCCCTGCAATTAAAACCAATTTCAGAATTAGTACAAAAATGTATTGCATAAGACATAGTCCAAACATTAACTCTGCAACACTCTTATCGTGCAAAACCAGCGATGAGTCAGTAGACAGAACACAGTCACTCAGCATATGGTGAAATTTGCACCAGGGACACTTTATGACAGGGGCTGTAGATCAATCAAATAATATAATGCTTGTTAATTTTTATAAAAATTGTAAATTTTTATAAAAATTATAAGTTTTTATAAATTAAAATTGAGAGGTAAATTCATCTAATCTCTCACAGGTAGACAGGGGAATCTTACTTGCTCTGAACTTCTGTATGTAAGACTTTTAAATCATGACAGGCTTAAGCTCTGCCAGGGGAGGTTTAGGTTGGATATTAGAAAGAAGTTCTTTACAGAGAGAGTGATCAGGCATTGGAATGGCCTGCCCAGAGAGGTGGTGGATTCACCGTCCCTGGAGGTTTTTAAGATGAGGTTGGATGTGGCACTGAGTGCCATGATCTAGTAATCACAGTGGGGTTGGATCAAGGGCTGGACTTGATGATCTCGGAGGTCTCTTCCAACCCAGTTAATTCTATGATTCTATGATCTGAAGAATTTTGGTTATGTGCTCCCAAGTGGAAGATGTACACTTACACTGGAGCTGGAAAACAACTTCTAGATTTTACAATAGAACATAGGCCAATCAACCTCTGAAATAATTAACACGTTTTTAAATTTACTGTCTTTCATCAGCATTCTTCTCCCATGTACATCTCAGTTCACTAAGTAGGTCTGTCATACTTCTGCTAAAACAATCAAAAAAGTCATTGTACAAGCTACTGCATCTCTGCTTGGCCGAACTCTGCAGCTGTCTCATTCAGGTCATGATACAGATGGTAATATCCTTCAAACCAGGTAACATAATAACTACTCCTTATTTTGAAAATTTGACCTTTATTTGGCTTCATGTTTTATCTAAGTATACTGAAATATAGGTGAAGTGTATGCTCCCAGTAGGCACCTGACTAGGATGAAAGCATCTATGCTCTCTTAGTTACCAGAGGGTCATTCATCATTCAACTTGTATACTAGTTTCAAACACTGAAATTTCTTTTCAGTAAAGTACAGTTATTAGAAATATCCACTAAGCTATATTTAAAAAAATATGAAATTATTAGATTCTTATTCTATCCTTAGCTACAATATTCAAAAGGTAAGTTATGACTGTAGGAATAAAGCACTATGAATACCTTCCTAATGAACATTTGTAAGATACAAAACCAAATTTCCTAAAATAAACAAAAAACAAGTGAAGTCCTGACTTTGCTTCATTCCCCTAACAACTTATAAATGAATGTCACAATTGCTTTGAAGACAAATCTCAAAATATTCACAAGTTAAGATGTTCACATTGCATGTAAGAGCAAGGTTTTGTTGTTTGGGTTTTGGTTTTTTGTTTTGTTTTGGGTTTTTCTCCAGATAAAAACTGCGTTATAAACAATGTTTAATGGTAATTTACAAAGGCAAAAGAATTAGTACCACACCCTGAATAACATTATAGAAGCAACGTCGTGAAGATGTTGTACTGTTACACACTCAGTGACAATTAATATGGAGACCGTATGTTGTTAGAAAGAAAACCAAAGACAAGCAGACAGCAAAACAAACAAGTTTCAGGCATCTTTAAAATATGCAGAAACATTTGCAAAGGAAAAAGCAGACACTACTTAAGAAATTATACTTTCCCATCTCTCAACTGAGCATAAAGAAGAATTTTTACAGGGCAAATCAGAAAAATTAACCAAGTCATTCTCTTAAGAACATTTTTCCACTTGATTTTTGCTAACATTGAATAGGCCAAAGAACTGCAACCTCTAGATTGAGATAGTCTTGTTTATTTTGTATTCACCCACCGAAAACATTCCTTGAACATGTTTCTAAATAAAAACAAACACATGCTATTGAGACCGCTGGAATTGTAACTTCAGTTTAAAACACTGCAAAAACATGCACCTAAAATCAAGTTCCTCTTAGAAGCTGGACCTAGTTCAAGCTAAACAAAAACATGAGTCACCCCTGAGGCTCCATTTATCCATGTTCTATCTTTTAATATATTCCCAGGAGAAATAATAATAACACTAATAATCATCATCACAACCTCTCCCATTCACTCTCACAAAACAGCAGAAAACATGAAAAATCTCACTGTGTTGTCAACACTGTGCAAAACAACATTGAGTGCACACGGAGGAACAAGGATTTCTTGCAAAGCAACATTTGTAAGGCTCAGTAACAACTTCGTAAGAACAATTTTTACAGTTAAGGAAAAAAAAAAAGAGACCAACTTAATGCACATGAATTCTTTTCAGCTCTTGTAACAGAAGGTAGGGGTTATGAACAACTGTTTTGAATTCAACTGAACTGTGTTAATAAAAGACAGTTTGAAAGACAAGAATTGTTGGCACCTGCAGAGCAGAGTGGGCTATAAGGAAAGGCAAAGAAAATTATGAGCCCCAGAGGAAAACAATAAAGGGGAGTAATTACTGCCAATATAATCGAAGAGTGTAAAGGTGGTGATTATGGGAAAAAAACTCTTAAACCCTCCACCTCTACTAAGCCTGCTGTTGTCAAATTGCCTTAGAATGATGAGTTTTGTTTCAGGTTTTTGTTTTTAATGACATTTGATGACTCTCCTTTAGTGATCAGAACTTTTCTGTCTCCTGTTCCAGAGTACGGTCTTCCCCCTTTCACATTCACTCCACCTTCCCTTGCTTATCCCAGTTTCTTCAGTGTACAGAGTGGCTCCTTTATTTCTACCCCTCCTAGACTCACCTTAAAAGCTGAGATGTCCAATCCTCCACAGCCTATCAAATCCAAATTTCCTCCCCTTTCATATCCTCCTTTCATTCTCAGCTTCTTCATTCCCTAGTCTTGTTTTTCTACATGTACACATTTAACTAATCTTTTTTTTCCCTCCCATCTCAGTTCTCAACACTCACTGTTTCCCCAGATTCCCTTCCCATTCCTACTGATTTCCTATTCCACTAATCCTTACTATCCTCTTTCCTGAATTCAAATTTTTGTCCAATTTGCATAGCAATCTTCTTTGACACCAAAAGGAAGAGAAGTATCAGCGAAAGAGAGACCTCACACTGTCTCTAGTGCCCATTTACCAGCATTTCCCAAAATTGCTTAATTCTTGCAGCCCTGAAACAGTGCAAAGCTACAGCAGAAGAAAACTGAAAAGTATTTAGGGACCAAACTCTGCATATGGTTGTTTGGAACTCATAACTGACACATTGCAGGGAAAATTACAGCCTAGGTGGGGAATAGAGGAATGAAAATACATCAAGGAGGATTCTCTCCCGAATTTCAACAGTGTTTCAATATCCCAGAGCAGAAGACTTTCCCACTGGGTTTGTAACAACTAATTTATTAACTTGAAATCTACAGAGGAAAAGCAATGCATGTTTCCTCATCTTGTTCCTGGAAAGACATGACACTGCTTTGGGCAAATACTAAGAATGGAAAATTCAAGACCAAGTACCTAAAAATCTCACAAAAGTAATGAGCAAATAATGAAAAGTTATATGGCTTAGTAAATAGCCCACTGGGCTGAATCTCCATAGATAAGAGTTACTACGGTGATTGTGGGCAAACCATTTAAACATCACTCAACAAGAACACTGGTGCTCAGTCAAGCTTCTAACATCATCTGGCTAGAAGGCTGTGGAGCCTGAATAACTCTAACAACTCTGTAATTAGTTCACTGTAATAAAAGGAAAAGGTCTGCTCACTTGAAAGATGAAATAATAATTCACTTTCAAGAATTATAAGCATTTGAAAGGTATTTTATGAACTAGATTTATAGTAAGAATAAGTATTGAATTGGGGCAACTGCTCTGACACCACTGTGCCCTCTGGAGACCCTGAGTTCGATCAAGTCCCGGACACTTCAGCCCTACTCTGAGAGCAGTTTTTGTGGGAAGTGGAATGTGCAAGGGGTGCAAGTTGACAGAGGCGGACCTGGCACAAATCAAGTTCTTCATATGTGCTCCACAGTGAAGTAGGGGAACATAGGTAGTCAGCATATCCAAAGAAATTAAAATCTTCCATATGTCAACCTTTTTGTAGCACTGCCACCTGAGGAAGTGAACTGAGCAAAGACTGATGTTCTGCCTTGTTGTTTTTTTTTCCTGAATGAGTAATTCACCAGAGCCAAAGGAACTAGAAGTTTGAATCAAATAAACTTTTTTAAAAACACATATGTCCATTTAAACTATGACTCCAACACAGTGTACAGGAGTGACTTCTACTTTTCTGAGCTCTGTTGGCCTTGACTTTATGAGAGAATCAGCACTGCACAACTGCTTTGCTGCTGTTCTCCTGGAGAATGCAACAGGAAAGAACAGTGTAAAATACCGAATACTTCACTTGCACAGAAAATGAGCGTGAAAGCTTAATGAAAAAAGAGAAAAATCTTTAATGATTCCTTTCTCATAATGCTTCTTAGTTTAATTTGGGGAGCCTGTACTTCAGATTGGCATGTTTACCCAGATGACTTCACTCACTTCTCTTTAAAACCGTTTACTTTCTTAAGCTGTAATTAAAACCCAAGCATTTTACATACTAACTGTGTTAATATAAACAACACTCTGAAATAGGACTATGGCAGATACCTGGATTATTGCCATTTATTTTGATTTCTCTGTTAATGAGCCAGAGTAGAATTTCATTTGTTCAGTAAGACCCAAGAAAAAGTATTCCCTCTGAGACATGCTAAATCCATAGCACATTCCAGCTGTAAAATAAACTAAAGAAGAATTTTTAATACATGTGAATGTATTTTTTTTTTCCCCTGGATTAATTTCTGAAACTAAATGGAACTTACAGAATGGTGAGGTTTTGCACATTGAAATTTTGGACTAGAAAATTCCTTTAAGTTCCTTACAACTTGAATTATCTGATCATCTTATGGTTTCAAAGCATATGGGTTCCTGAGGTTCACC